AACGAGAACTGAATCTAAGCTAAGTGTGAGCTGGTGCTTAACAGCGCATATCCTTGTCTATGTAACGTTTTGCAAGTCAAAATAAGCATCTGAAATATGGGCTTACATGTACATTTATACCAAAGTGGTTACATCTGAGTAATTTCACAGAACCCCCGATTACCGCCCCCCTCCCTCACCTACTGAGCTACTGTCAAAGGAGCTGGTGGGGGTGGGGCAGTCACGTTATCCCAGACTGTTAGGCTGTATTCCCAGAGCTTTGAGATCGATCTATCCCCGCGGGGAATCTCACTAGATTACTGTCAGATAATCCGGCTTAAATGTCTGTCCCGCCTACTACATGCTGTAAGGGGGTAATTAACTTTCGTGTCCGCCCGGCTGACAGCTATTTAGCGTGAACCCCCAGGGAGTTAGGTCGATCTAAAGTAGATCAATCTAATCTCTGGAAATGGGGTCTTAAAGTGCACCGATTCCCACAGGGCACCACAGTGTGATTTTGTATAGCATTTTAATGGAGTCCTGATATCAGAGGGAAGTCCTCGAGTACCAGTGAGTACAGCTTTTTTACAAAATTTAAGAACAGGCAACAATTTTGTAATAGACCAGTTGGCGACCCCTGTGCTCAGAGAGAGCCTTTTTCACAGGTTTAAAATGTATCATATCAAGGACGTATATTCAACGGAACGCTTTCTTGAGATCGTCCAAAAACAGTTTTTAATAAAACGATGCTGGACACATTTCAGAGTGCACTCAGTGTAGTTTAATCGGTTTGTTTAGTCTTGTCGTGAACACGTGCTAAAATGTATTATTTATCTTTTAACTAGGCGAGGTATTGTATCCTGTAGATAATTATATGATTTTTCACGGTTTCTATTTTTTGTTAAGCAGGATGTGTTACGAATTTAGGGCACTTGTAAGAAGACGTTCTTCTTGGAAGGAAATATGATAACGAAAGTAGACCTACGTTTCAGTAAGCAACGTTTTTAATTAGACTGATAACATTCTTATGTGATTGTGTCAGACACTTTTTATAGATAAAACTCTCTTTCTCTCTGCTCCCTCTCATACAAATGAAGGCGATAGTTTATTTAATACCCCCCCCCCCTTCACAGCGCACCCTACCGGTAACCGTAACTGATGATCACGTAATGGGACCGGCGTTATTTCGCAATAGTACAACCGATTTAGGCACTTTCACATCGCATCAGTGATAACAAGCGTAAACAGTAGTGGAATCATTTACCGACATCGTCAGATAACGTTAGAGAACGAGATTACGTTTATCAGTCTTCTGATAGACTCGCAATTCTGTGTTTGTGGAGTTGGAGACTTCGCAATTTTCTGTTTGCTCCCCGGTACATGTCGCAATTTTCTATTTGCTTTTAAACTATGGCGGGATTTGTCTCAAATGTCCAATGATAAAGCTTTGCGTACCCTGCAATTTAGATACTCATTTGGAACATTGGACATTGCTGGCCCTTATATGGAATTTAGGATTGGAAAAATTGAAAGTTACAGGTGACTTGAAACTTGGGGTGTTTTTAGACGTCACAGTGCGAAATGTCATTCATAAGAGTGCAATTAGATAAAATTTCGTGAGAAACACCTTTAAAATTGAACATAGAAATTTCCCACGATCCATAATCTTCAATTTTACTTTCACGAATGAAATAGTGCCTAGTTTTGATTAAAAACAGCTTTGTGTTCTGATGTTTTGTTGCGAAGTAATAACATTCATTAAAAAATGTCCGTGTACGAGTGTGTGTCACATTACAGTATCCAACTATTCCATTACCCCGAACTGTTAGAGGTCGCCTCGAACGTAACACTTAACGTAACAGAAATTGCCCTTATTCTCAGAATAAGGCTGTAGCTTGAAAGCCTAAATTCAGTCAGTTTAACTGAAAAAGAAACCCTTTAAGCAATTTGTCATGGAAATGTTCTAGATCACAGAAAAATAATAAATAAATAAATAAATGAATAAATAAATAAATAAATCCAGACGCAACAATACAGTCTCTGCGCTCGGATCACATATATCAGGCCAGCAGCCAGAAAGGTGGGTTCTTTTTCTGAAAATGTAAACTTTTTATGCCTTCACCCAACCTGAGAAATGAGGTGCATCTTAATTCAAATTTGGGTTCAGATGGGCGATTTTCCGGCCAAAAGAGCGGCGGGGTTTTCGAGCTCTCCGACCCCCACTTTCAATGCCTACGTATAGACAGGCTTAGGTATGCTTCAAAACTTGTCTCTGTTTAATAAGAAATGTTATTATAACATTCGATTTCAGGCAAGAACTTGGATTGCTTATTTCAATCAAAATATCAGACTATATATATATATATATATATATATATATATATATATATATATATATATATATATATATATATATATATAGCCCTGTTCTCCCCGTCAACTTTGTGTGACTCTGAACCTTTGGTGACCGTGACAAGAACCTTCTAACAACGCATGGTCAAGTGGTGATAAGTGGATCCTAGGACTTAGGACACCGATGTCCAAGGTGAATCATACAAAAAAATTGAAGTCATTGTAAGTCATACTTGCAACACACACACACACACACACACACACACACACACACACACAAAATGGTAGAGTGATGAATGAAACAAAAAGTGCTAGTTAAAAAACAGTGTCAAAACTTGGTGAACAAAGTCCCCCAAACGTCGGCTGTATGAATGAGGTGAAATCGCCCTTATCATTGTCAACATCGAATATACGACAATTTTATCCAAAGGTAAAGGCAGTCGCAATTTTTAGATATTTCTGAAAGATAACTCTAACTTGTGCAAATGTTGACCAAATGATTAATTCATGGGAATTAAGCTCTGTTTCGTTAGGCATCAACAGTGAAGCTCTGGTGACCGTGTGAACCGAGAAACACATACTGTACAAAGACACACACACACACAGAGAGAGAGAGAGAGAGAGAGAGAGAGAGAGAGAGAATCTTTAATCTTGACTAGCACACGACACATTATAACCAATCGATGGGCGTATCTTTCACATAGTTTCTTTCTATTTCATATGTCCTGACTGGAAATGGAATAAGAGGATTGCTGTAGTTATATATATATATATATATATTTGGCAAGTTGAAGTAAGTGAAGTGCATGCCATTGTTTTCCTTAGAGGAAAAAAAAGCATCCAAAGGTGTCTTCCAATCAAATAGTCATGAATAGAAAATAGTCAGCGCAGTTGTTTCCCAAACCGACTCAATGTGTATAACGTAATGGGCGGATGCACGATGTTGGCTGACTGTGTCACCACTATATAATCAATAGACCGGTTGGGGACTTCTATAGTTTCATTAAACACACGGTGAATTTCCCCAGAAATTGTAACAAAATCACAAGCTTAAGCGCATACTTTGGCTAGGCTGGAAATCGAAAGCGGACGTATGTACAATTACCTACAGAAATGTGTCCGTTTAAACCGTTGTTTGCCTAGCCCCGTTAACTTACTCGTGTCTAATCGGTGTGAAATTGCTTTCTTAACAAAATAGATAAATAAATAAATAAATGAATAAATAATACAAAGATTAAGGACTGCCCCCTCCCCCGTGATTTGTCTTTTCGTTGTATTTTTACTAGAAATACAAACCGTGTCTAGACACGTGCCCAGTTAGACCTCAGTTGCATGACCTCTTGCATGTCTTAACTAATTTTTTAAAATCAATTTACGTTACCCCTTTTATACTTACTGACGTCATACTATATATTTTCGATGTGCGTAGTAGGCCCTAGGAGTGCATGATAGAGAGAAAACAGAAAGGTGTTTATAAACTAAAAGATGTTCAACTAAAGAAACTAAAAGATGTTCAACTGAAGATCCTCTATTTTTGTCGCCACTAGAAGAAATTTGCGCAGAAACACCGTACAGATGATCATGACATCCGAGTGCAGAGAGTGCGAGGACGTAGCTACGTCATAGGTCATAGGTCATGGCCTTCATAAGCTGCGACTTTGCATATAAAAACCGAACAACTTCTTGCTCTTATTCACTGTTACTCAGGCATCACAGCCGAACGGAAAAGGGGGAGGCAGAGAGAAAGAGAGGGAGAGTTAAAGTGGATGCAGAAGACGTTCAAGAAAACCGACGAGAAGTTAACAGTTAAAACCTGGGAACGAAAGGCTGACAGGCACTGTTATACACTTCTGCAAGGTTCACTTTTCTGCAGTTATTGCTTTTCTTGAACGCGGCATTTTTCAGGTGAGACAAATTGTGACGCTTAACCACATTATGTCATTCTGCTTTTGAAAATCTTTGAATCATCAAAAATTATTTCCAATAACAAGGTCTTGGAAACAAGAAAGTGCCTGCTAATTCTAAATTCAGTTGTATTAGCAAGTCAAATATCTTAGATTTTTTTAGAACACAAGGAACACTTAATTAACACAGGGAGTGTTTGAAATTGGCAATGGGTTCTTTTTGGGCATAAAAATGAAAGTATGACGTAAAACCGGTGACTCAGTAGTCGTACATGTGAGTCCAAATTAAATTATAACCGGCTTGACAACAGAGGCCCCTGTAGCCTGAAAGTACGTGCGTATACTAGGTCGTCGTGACATTGTGCGGTACACTTGTGTTGTATCACACGTTTAACTGGCACGAACATTGAATAAAGTTAAGCGAGGGAGGGGGGGGGGGGGGCGTCCTTTTCTCAAACCCCGATTGACAAATCAATATTACACTGAAATTGAAATTAAAATCCGGTTAAGTGGCCTTGTCGGGAGCGGTCCGGAGCTCCATTAAAGTGTACGACGTCTTTGTTAACTTGGAACAGGTTTGCATCTGCCGCATGCCAAAATGAACGAAAATATCCCATTCTTTAATTAAAAACAACAAGTATACATTTCAGTAAGTCAAAATAAAACTTACCAATACTCGTGGGAATTAAAACATAGCATAGGAACAACATATAATACGTACATTAGGATGAATAAGTGCAGTTATAATATATATTTTATGTTTGCTACTTTTTTTTTTCATTTCATGCGCTTAAAATGACAGGGCTTGTTTGAAACTTGCAGTGCGCATGTGTTCTTCAGCGAAGTTATTTTGTGGCGGACATAAAATTAAAGGGATAACAACTGTTCATTTTGGCAAAAAAAATGAATTTTCCTGGGGTAAAAAGCAATTTCCCATACTAACCAATGGTCAATGAATCCATTTCTACATTCAAAGTTAGTAGGGCCTACCTGTTTTTTTTTTTTTTTTTTTTCTAAAAGGTTTTTTTTTCTTTTGTGATAATCTCATAAGAGATGAATAAGTGCAGTTATCTCATAAGAGATTATTACAGAGTATAGCTTTCTATGTAGGTCACATGCTCGGATGGCAAGCACATATTTCAGATTTATTGCTATGACTGTCGTTTTTGTGGCAAAATAGAATGTATTATATGAATATGAGTTGTTTACAATGTATTTATAGTGAAATATAGGTCTCATATGAAGAGTTGTTATACCTTTAAAGGGATGATACAGTAGACTACAATTGGTCGTACGTCTGGGTAGAAAGTCCCGTGGCCAGAAAGTATGTGAGTACGACCTAGGTCCTTGCTACAGCGTCCGTTACAGTCCTGTTGGAAATTTAAAACCAAGGGACCATTCCCATACTCTATCATACTAACTGTGGATCGGCCTATCTCCAAGGGGATTCTCGCTTAATTGCAATCAACTTGAGCGGCTTAGATGTCTGTCACGCCTACTGAAGCTGCTAGGGGATAATTAATTATCGTTTAGCAGCTTCAGAAGCGTGCCAGACATCTAAGCCGCTCTAAGCCCTTGGAGATGGTACGTAAGTGGAAACCCAGTCATATATAGTCTCTCATAACCCTTAGCAGGGTGGGTTTTATTTATTTAAAACGTGAGACGTTAATAAAATTATTATTATTATTATTATTATTATATAGCATAGCAGTAATACCAGGACACAAGAGTGAATAAGCATAGTAGAAATATATTTACATGTACTACTACTACTACTATTAAATTGCCTTATCATACAAACTGCTGTCAACATGTGCTAGTAGCTGCCATGAGCTGCCAGTGAATGCCTCTTAAATAACGTAAAATAAATCAATGGTCAGTTGTCAGCATAAAGGTAACCCAGACGGCCGGTATTTTTGACTCTGCTCTCCTCTTAATCCCATGGAGTCTTGCTTGATTTTAGATTATATAGATTGAAGTTCACAAGGTTTCTGAAACTTAACTTTCTGACGAATACCCTGAGCTCCTGGTCTTAGCGTGCCTCTTCCTCAGGCGTTAAATAACTTATGTATAAGGTAGTCCTATGAGTAAAGTATTCTGAACTTTAAGCAGAACTGACTGAATATAATATTTTTCCATATTTGGCCTGATATATGTTGGAATGAGGAGTGATGTCCTGTAAGATTTTCCGCCATGTTTAGAAAGAGTGTTCGAATGTTTTCTTTTTAAGGTACCAGTATAAGTATACCGGAGTAAAGAAGAGTACATACAACCCCGAAAGAAGCTCCAGTTAAAGTGTGAAAATGCTTGCAGCGACGTCCAAAGTTCGAAGTGGGCTGCATTTGAGGTGTGTCAACGCGGCCGTCAGGAAGTACAACGACCATGCCCGATACCACCGTTCTAACAGCGCGGGCACAGGGCCACCTGGGCCGCTTGGAACATCTAAGACCTCAGCCGCTCACAAGGGGAACCACGCCCCCTGCAGGAGCGTCATGTTTATGGACAGAAAAACCGTGACGTCAGGAAAGGTGAAGTTCCAGAACGCTGACGTCTACATCCTCGATATGGAGGACAGCGTACCGATTGATGAAAAAGACGCCACGAGAGAGGCAGCCGCCAGGTTCATCCAGCAATGGAACCTTCCTCAGCCTCTCTACGTGCGCACGAGCTCGATTGGAGAAGCTCACGAGGAAACGGTGAAGGATTTTGAGTTCCTCTCCCACCAAAACCTAACCGGATACGTGCTGCCGAAGTTATCGTACAAGGTCGAGTTGCAAGAGTATACCCGCCTAGCAGCATGCCAAGAAACACAGAAAAACCTCCCCGAAAACCACTTTCGTTTCTTCCCTATTCTTGAGACAGCACAGGGCGTGGCTAACTGCCATGAACTCGTCCAGTCAGGAGTCACGAGACATGCAATTATTTCGCTGGGGACTTATGATTTTGGGAATGATGTCCAAGCAGATTTTGTTGGAGAAACAATGTTTCACGCCATGAAAGATGTTCTCTTGGCGACCAGAGCTGCATCCTTGCCGATGATATGGGGTATTTACGTTCTACTTGGTGACTTTTCTGGCCTAGAAAAATTATCTCAAAAGGCTAAAGAAATCGGCTGCAGCGGCGGGTTTGCTTTGACGCCTGCCCAGGCGGTGATCCTCAACCGAGTCTTCTCTCGGTCGTTCCGTGAGATGAACCACAGTCGCGACATTGTTCACATGAAAGAAAATGGCGGTATCAACATGTATTATCCGCATCACCAACAAAGTGGAGTTATGCTTGGACCACCGTTGTTCAAAAAAGCAGAAAATATCCTGAGGATGGCCAGCCTAGAGACTGAATACGATCAGGTGAAGGCTCAAGGCCCGCACAAATCCGCACCTGTTCAAGAAACGGTTGCTCTGCCTTTAGAAGAGGCCACTAATGAAACAAGAACTGTTTCATTAAAGAACAAATCTCCTGGCTTCCAGCAAATATCGCTTCCCCAGCAAACAAGTGGCCAACCACTGTTTCGAACCACACCCGATCTTTCGTCTTTTCTATCAAAAGCAGACTACGATGGAGAGCACCTTCAACCTCAGGCTGCGTTTGCCACAGCTAGTTTGGCATCAAAACCAGAACTATTTTTTGATGACGACATGGCACGTGCACGCTGGGCTCCAGGCAACCAATCAAAATTCAAACGATGGAGACGAGATGAACCAATCAGAACCCCGCATGAATTGACCATTGACCCGGCTATTTCGAAGCTTTGGAATTCTTCTTTTTATTGCAACTCGCTACTTGCTAGCAGTCGACAGTTTGCCCTTGACTGTGGGATGGAAGAAACTCAGCCGCCACTGCAACTGCTGATGACGGCAACCATTGCTATGGCGGTTAGCAGGTGAGTTGATTACGATCTCCATTTGTTTAACCTTGTTTTTGTAAGGGTGCCCTCATTTTCATGTGTGCCTCACATCAATCAAATACATTTGTTACAGGCTTACAGCACACTAAACTCGGATATACTGTAAACTGCGTTTTATATCATTATAGATATTTAAACATGTTACCTTTTAGCCTAGAAGTCATAGAGGATAAATTTTTATGTTAATTTTTTTATTTCAGTTTTACAGAGCACTGCAGGTATCATTTGGGTTTCCAAAATGCGCAACAACGTCGACCAATCAAAGGCGGAGAAACTGTCACAGCGACGGTACGCGTGGTTGACGTACGTCCGACAAGTGGCGGGAGGTACGACGTCGTAACGTCTAAGCACGAGCTGGAGGATTGCCATGGAAACGTTCTTTTCACCGTCGGGAAGAAGTCCATGTTTCCGGCTGGTATGTTTCCACATATTGGACGTTGCCCGGAGGGAGACAGAAAGCCAACGACGAAAAACCCAATGCAGGTTTGCGTTTTTGTCTAATAGCTAATACGCATTTACTGTACAACTATGGTATGCGTCTCTGCTTAGAAGAACTACATACGTCTTAAATGACGTACGTAATTTTATTTGAGCTGGCGATCTTACGTCTACTGAGCTAAATTAATAATTTTATTTATGGCATTGGGATGTGCGTAAAATGTTTTCTCACCTTCAGTTTTGTCTTTCTTTCCTTTTTTAGCCTTAATAATTAATGTTGTAATAATTTTACTTTATTACGCATAGTAAATAATCCATTTAACTTTGGCGATTGGGTTACATGCCTTCATCATTTCAGGAAATGGTTGAGACGCAGCACCAACTCCGCAGCCACATCACTGACGGTGTTGAGCCGCTGGAACAATCAGAGGTAACCGCTGTAGGCATTTATAGGGTAGTGGAGGGGGGGGGGGCGCTACGGACCTTTCCCACAGGCACAATATCGGTCTACGTGGATTGACCCAACTCTCGCTGACTGCCTCCTCCTGGCATTTAGTAAATACAGAAAAGCTGGCAGAAACAGGAGGATCGACGCGTGTCATTCAGTTAAGCTGATTGCACTTAGTGAGAGTCCCCGCAGAGTTGGGTCGATCCACGTAGACCGATGGTGTCTGTGGGAATGGGCTCTAAGACAACTAAAATATGTGAACCTTTTGCATTCAAACGCCTCAGAGTTCTGAATTTTTGTAGATGATATTTTTGGTCTACAAACCATTTAGGATGTTATATCGAGAAATATTATCTCTTAATACCTGCCTGTTCAGAAGTCGATTTTTGGAATCGAAGTGAGACGATCAATCAGACTTACTCGCTTAGTTATTCTGTCTAAAATTTAATATCGAAGGTGTCACAGTGAATATGTATACCCGCTTAATGCACATATATAAATTATTTCACATTTCAGCTGTACGTTCATCGTCTTGTGAAGGTGGTGGAAAGTTACGAATCGAGAGCCTTCTGTCATCAGTTCTGGATTACAAATGAACATCATCTTAACAGCATGAAGGTATATATATAAACAGGTTGCATAACAATAGTTATTTTTATTATTTAAGTGTTGACTTATAGATAAAACGTACACGTTGATGATGATATAAATCATATAAGGTTGTTTATCAACACATTTTGGCCTGGTGTGATCAAAGTTATAGTTTGTAATTGATTTTTTTAATCAGTCTATTATTAAATATAATTATACAATTTTGACCCAAGAAAAATCAGTTATTAGTCACAGCTCCAAATTACATTTTATTTTTTATTTTTTTCATTTATTCATCCAGTATTCCTCCAGACTCCTGGCGCATTTGATCTCGTCGAAATTTTAGTCTTTTGTATACAAATTCAGTCACATCCCTAACTCACTGCCAAGTGCGTTAATAATATTCAAATTCTCTTTCAGTTTTCGGCGACAGACTTGCTGGTCCCTGGGCCCCTGGTGACTGCGGCCTCCCTCTCTAACACTGGCCTGGACTATGGATATGTCTTATATGAAGAGATCCTGGAGGCCAAGAATATAAATAGGGTTGCCATGGTGAGAGAATTTTTAAATCGTTGTAGTATCCATGAAAGTGGTACATGTATAGGCCTATAGGTAGTTACTGGTCTACGTGCTACGTGTATCAACCAGCCATCTCTTTCTCTTGATCTTCCCTTCTCTTTGTTGTGTTGTAAATAGCCTGAGGTCCAGAGTTTGTTTCGATATATATATATATATATATATATATATATATATATATATTTTTTGCTATTATTATTGTTATTATTATTTCTAGGGTGATATGATTTCCTCACTGTCACTAATACTGGATGTTCGACCTAACCCTGCTAATCCAGGTAAGCTCAGCTTTTCACAGTTTTTCACAATCATAACGCTACCATGGTTACATTTGAGTCACAAATAAGAGCTTGGTTAAATATGCTTTGAGCAATCTCTAGAAGTTATTTTGATTTTTTTTCTGTGCCATATCCCGTTTTATATGTTATTTGGTATTTGCCAATCAATTTTCAAAAAGTAAATTTAGGCCTACATCTAGAACGTATTGTTTACGTCCCTTTTGAAAACAATTATCAGAATTCGAAGAAAATATTAATAAACAGTTTTCACCAAAACACTGCATTTTTTTTTATTTCTCCAATTAATATAACCTACAAACACTTCAGCGCTGGAGGAGGTCACATCAAGGGTGTTCGGTTTGATCAACATCGAACCAGAGGAACTGAGGGAGCTCTCTGTGCCGCGTGACGTCGTGGAGTCTGCGCATCTAAAACCCTCCGAAATGGAAAAGGTAGGCGATACATTCACTTTGAACCACTGGACCTTAACCAAATTCTTTAAATAAATAAACAAAATTATAAGTCACCGCAGATTTATCTTGTTGTCGCCAGATATTTTCTTTAGAGTGTCCGTCTAGCGTCTTTAGATCCACGTCAAATTTCTCGATTGATCCATTGCTATACATGTGGTTACGCGGCTGGTTTTCTGGTTGATCTTGGTGTACAAAATTTACCATATGACACCCATTTAGAAATAAAGAAAGAAAACTATAAACAATGGATTCTTATTTTTTTCCAGATATTTATCAACGATTGTCCGCAGCTCTTCAAAAAGGTGGCTTCTGTCACAACGCGGAGAATACTGCGTCCCTCTCCCACGTGGATGCTGTGATCATTGATCTAGGCTAATGGAAAGCGTTCGAACAATCTTGACTCAGACACGTACAGTTCTTCAATCCAGCCATATGGAACTCGAGAATGCATTGCTTAGAACTTGGACATTACCAATATACAAGTTTTTTTTTTTCAAAACCAATCGCTAGCGTTCCGTGATGAGACCGTCATTCCTACTGTTCTCAATCTTTTATGAAAGCTGATTTGATGTAAGGAAAAATAGCAATTATAAAATTAATTTTGTCGCATTTTTACACGATTTTATGTTTATACGGGTACATAGGAATTTTCAAAAATAAATAAATAAATAAGATGGTGGAGGCTCAACCATTCAGTAACGATCCTGGCAGTCTATAATAATCGAATCCCAGCTTTGCTGTAATCGATTTTGTGTTCGATTGAATTACCATCACCACTTCTCACTATTAAGATTCAAACAGATGAGCCATGACTACGATCCCGTTTTCAAAGGACGATATAAGGACAAACTCTCTCTGATACAGCGACACTGCAGCATGAAATGTTTACGCATAGGCCTATGTTTTTTTTCGTATTTTTTATTGTAAATATTGGAATATTCACCCAGGCATATTGCTTTATTTTTACATAATGTATGAAAAACATGGTCAGATTTATAATCTTGCTGCTTATCGTGATAGAATATGGTCCAAGTATTTATTTCAAGTTTTATTTATAAATGCCATTTTGGTTTAACAAGAATGGTTTAATTGCGACGGGGATATATTGGTTTAGACATAAATAATTATAACGTGGGGCACTTTTATTTATTATTATTGTTATAATAAATGTCTCTGTAATTTAAATAAATATATACATTTTCAAATCAGCTTCCCCCCTCCCCTGTGTAAATAGGCACACGTTTTCAATGTAACGGGATCAGATTTGCCTTACATTTTACAGTATGCAATTCCGAGTGTGGGAGCGACTTGGCAACTCAACTCGGTCAGAGGCACAGGTTCGACACCCGAAAAATATGATATACAACGAACACTGCCTACGCACTATTTATGCGCCTTCCAGGCAAATTCAATAGTCGTTTCTTTCAACTGCCAGAGAGAGCAAAAGATTTTAAGATGATTGTTATGTAAATGCCGTTTCTCTCCTTAATAGTGAACTTGGTTTTCAAACCTGTCAACTTTTGAAGCCATCCTCTTTTTTAACCCTACATGGTTATATAATTTCCGTGTATATTTATATCACATATTACTAAACATAAGTACAATGACTGAATAAATCTTTATCATTATTATGAAGTATTTTTTTTCAAACGGTCCATTCAGATGTCTGGACATTCCAAACTCACACAACATATTTAGTCAAAGGTTAACAAGAAGAAAACCGTTATTTCTTTCATTCACAAAAACCATCTGTTTATTAACCATCTGCCTTCACGATATTGAAAAAGGAGCAATAGATGTTACAGTTGAAAATAAATAGGTATTTACATCACTGTGGCACAAGAATAACTTCTCTTATTCGACAGAATTTTTATTCCTTTCAACTTGAAAGTTCACTTTTCCATTCAACACTCCAGTTCTTTAGCACCCCAATTCCGAGGCATATTAACACAACAAATGAGATACTGCCTTCAATTTGTTCTCCTCTTTTCAATCATCACAGCAACGATCATTGTTTTAGTAATTGGCAACCTTCAACAGATGGCGTTCATGTCATAGACCCCATATTGTAATTTATGCGTCTTCCGCCTCCTCTTCTTCCTCCTCTTCATTGTTGATCTGGAAGTAGCGCAGCTCGTAAGTGTCCTTGCTACTGGCGACAACTCTCAACCAATCACGGAGGTTGTTCTTCTTCAGGTACTTCTTGGTGAGATACTTCATGTACCTGTACAAAAGAAAAAATCCAAACATTTAGAAGTTTAAAAGGCTTGATTAGCAGTTAAAACATAATACACAACTTAAACCCATGCCATTCTTCCTTTCACCAAATGCTCTGGAAATTTAAGCACATTAAAATATTACTATGTAGGTCTTGGTTTCTCGGAATCTAAAATTTGAGGGTTTTCCACAAGCAGACTTATATAACAAGAGATTATCAAGTTATTTTTTAGACATAATAAACATTAAAAAGAAATATCTATCTTTGGAATATCTGAGGGGGAAAATGCTAACTTCTTATGTCTAATGTGCAAGATAATATTAATTATTGTTATAGTAAAAACAAAAGAAAAAAATATTACTATTAAAAAGTATACAACTAGAGAGAAAAGAGGAAGAGATACTACAAAGGTCCACGGATGCATTACCTCTTAGACAGTGGGATATCACTGGTGACAACAACTTTATTTTTCTGCCTTTCCATGGAGATGTTCTGGCCCAGGTTGCCAGTCTTGCCGTTCACTTTGATCCTTTCCTGCAGGTACTTGTCCTGTTGGGATGGAGCAAAAGAAAAAAGGGATTAGGGAAGAGGGCCCTAACCCAGACTCTAGGGAATGGAGCCCTAGAGGTATCAGGACTAGGGAATGTGACCCTAGCCCACTTTGGCATATTAGTCTCCATAGATAACAAAACAATGAGATACACTGGCCGACTACATGACAAAATCCCCCTTTTTAAACAGTTTTTTTTTTTTTCGGTTTCTATTAATTATAATTCACAACATTTATATGTCTTACCCCCCAAAAAATTTAATCAAATAGTTGCGAGCAATTTTTTGTAAATTTACCTGACCTGTCTCAAGAATTTTAGCAAAAAAAGGTACCCCAGAACAAAATGAAAATCTAAATCCAAGATTTCAGCAATCAACTTACAAAGTTTGTGATGTCCATAATGCCATCTTCTACGGGGTGCGTGCAGTCCAGATAATACCTGATTATCGACTTCTTCTTCTTACCACCCTTGGGGTTTTTCTGCTGGCCCTTTTTTGCTGTCTGAAAAAGAAAAGACAAGAAATACAATGACATTACTTCTCAATTTCAACTTTCACTTTGAAGCTACTTTACCTCATAACGGCATTTGAGAGCCTATACCAACATACCTTTCCTTAGTCCATCTCTTCTTTAACCCTCCCCCCCCCCCCGCACACATCACACGATCATCTGCCAAGTCTAAATTATTTAATTTATTACAACATAAAGTTGCATATTTCATTACCAACTTGCTAATAATGGACTTCAAAATGTAGAATGACAATGACGTTATGACATAAAACACAAGAGTCGGTACATCAAATCTTCCTGAAAACTGAAATATGTTCAACGGGAACTATCACATGAACACGTGTCTGTTAATTCAGTCAAAATTACGTAAAAGCAGGCTATTTTGGCATCAGAACTCTTTTGAATCATTTACAAAACTAGCTTAGGCTTTATAAAATTGTGAGTAAAATGTTGTATATTAAGTTTCCATTTCAGAATGAGACAAAAATTCGAGGGGACTTAGCCACTTACAGCAGGCATGATGGCGGCAGAGTGTGAGAGGAAGCGCATGCGTCATTTCTTCGGGAATTTTCGTAGCTCTACTTATTTACTTTTATTTTCACATTTACACTTTTTACTATCTAATCCATAGAAACCGAATGCCTGTGTCTCCTTTAGTTTAACATATAAATAATGTTGATGTTTTTGGGAAATAGTTAGACAAAAGAATAGATGCACAATGCCGGACACTCACGAAAATTGTCGAAATGAACTGTGGGTAATTTCCGCCATTTTTACAGGAAGGAGAAACTCCCACTTTAGCCGGCAAGTAGTAATGTGAGTAAAACTCTGTCAAATTTTCACCGAGTGGTACCTTTCTTTGAATTATATGGAAACATGGTTTCTCATACTTAATATGTACCTTTGTCATGTCAGATTTTGCAAATATACACTCTTAAGCGCCCCATAACAGGTGTCTGTGCAAACTTCAACCGGTCGATGACAAAATTGATATGATCTCCATTTCATTCAGACTTGAAATTGAAATACTTCTTGTGCAGAACCGTGACTTCTGCACAGGTCACGGAATATCGTTCTTATTCGTTTACTGATGTAACCTTGATTTCCATAAATGATGCAGGAATGTGAATATATGTTTGGAAGTGCGCCTTGCATGCTGTACTATTATATTTCATAGTGCAGTGTATCACTGTACCTTGCTCTCACTCTTCCTATTGTTTGCACTGAGTCATTACATGGTATGATATTCATGGCAGCATGAAGGAGTTCTATATATGTTTACATGTGTAAATTATTGAGAAGAGCAGATATTCTTTATGTGTCTTTACCATTTTAGTCACTTATTATTGGTAAAATGCTTCCATTTTACTCTCAATACTTTTCTCACAGTATACCATACTAGTACCTATTTAAATAGCACATGATTTAATTATAAAACATTTTATCTTTTAAGATTACCATGACTGAATAGCTGTGACCATAACCTCCTCACGATGATCGGTGGACTGTTTGTATATAACCATAAAGGAGAGGTCCTTATCTCCAGAGTCTTTAGGGATGACATTGGGTAACTTTGATTAGATCATTATAATAATGGATTATAATAAATTACATTATGATATAAGATAGATCTTTATATTCGGATATATATCTGTTAAGCCCCCTTTACACTGGACGGCGTCCTTTCTGTGTCCCGTTGTACGGTCCTGTTTGAGAGTCAAAAACAATAATACCTTTGCGTGCCGACATTGAGCATTCATTTGCAACCAAAGCAGTGCATGTGCCTTCTTTTTTACGACCACAGCCATACCAGATTCACGGTCGCACAAAGGACGCCGTCCAGTGTAAAGGGGGTTTTAAGAGGACAAAAAAGGAAAAAAGAGTTCATACATATGAAGAGTATCAAGAGGAAGCAGACTTTGAATTGGCTCAAATGTCAAATATCTCAATTTTCTTTTTCTTAATTGAGATAAGAGTGACTTATAACAATCTGTGTAAAGCAATATATTAATGTATCATGGAATTTTAAGTTAATTTTGCAATAGCATGTACTTTGTTTCTCAGCTCTAGAAACTCACCTCTAGGTATATTTAAATTTTTTTTCTAGACGTAATGCTGTGGATGCATTTCGGGTCAATGTCATTCATGCACGTCAGCAAGTGCGCTCACCCGTGACCAACATTGCACGCACCAGCTTTTTCCATATCAAACGCTCCAACATCTGGGTGGCTGCAGTGACCAAACAGAATGTGAACGCAGCTATGGTATTTGAGTTCATGTACAAAGTCGTCGATGTCATGCAAGCATACTTTGGCAAGATTTCTGAGGAAAATATCAAAAATAATTTTGTGCTCATATATGAGTTACTGGACGGTGAGTGAAAAAAGTCGGTCCGATTTTAAAACAATCCTTTTATATCTGTAATCTTAATGATTGTATTATCACTGAAATGGAGATTTCTCATTGTGAAAATGAAATATTTAATGTTTTGAGTACTGTGCAGTTTTCTTACACCAATCATTCGTTGTTCTATCATATTTAAATGTATACTTTAAGTTTATATGAGTCATCTTGACGATATATTTTCTCTTTTTCTAAAATTGAGTCTACAGTTATTTGCATGAAAATGGCATTTTTTGATAAATATTTAGGTGGAGTAGACATATTAATATTTAACTTATTAAGTTAAATATGTATTTCAGCATCTTTAAAGAAAACAAGATGGCCAAAGAACAACCCATTCCTGTAAACTTCTCTCTTGATAACAGTGTTTAAGTTGCACTAATCCACAATTGATGGCAAACAATAACAAATTGCTTTTCAGAAATCCTGGACTTTGGATATCCACAGAATTCTGACACTGGGATCCTAAAAACTTTTATTACCCAGCAGGGAGTGAAATCACAGGTGAGATATTAACTTTTATTTTTCCATGGTTCTTACTCACTGCTGAATGTATGGGGTATTACTGGTGTATTAATATTGAAAATAGGTGTAAGATGTGGATCATGTTCATAATATTTACAGTACATAGCTGACACGACTTTTCTGATCATCTTGTCTGATGACTAATTTCAGTAAATTAAAAGCAACCCAGATCTTTTAAGATTTTCTTACTGTGAAGGAACTAACCATTAGGTCTATTTTCATGTTAAAAAACTGAGTTTAAGGTGATACTTTTTTTTAATCAAAATGATGGAAGTTTTGTAACTTCAAGTCACTGTTTTGCATGAATTATTTGAAATATATTATTTTCACTTTTTGTTTGTACATGAACAAATAACTGATAGAAAAAAATAATATTTAGGATCATGGACAACTGGTAATAATGTTGATTGAACTTCAGAGATGACCTGGAAAATGTTTTGGGAGGTGGGGGGATATTTTGTATTGAAATGAAAAGAGTGCATGCAGCTGTAGGGAGTATTTGTATCATGGAGTAATTTTTGTCAAGAATTCCCCTCCTTTGCCTTTAAATGATATGATTCTGCTTGTACTCGTCTGCTTCATGTCTGACGTCAGATAAGGGGACAGGTAAAAGTGGTTCTACCTTATGTAGCTCATATATTGCATGTCTGTTTGATTAAATATACATTAAATATACTGTAGATGTATGCATTTCAGATTTGAACTAATCACAAAATTCTGAAAAAAAAATTTAATGTAATTCTGATTGAGCCAAAGACAGCCCTACACCCCCAAGCAATTAGGTTTTTGATCTTAGATGTTCAGAGATAAAAAAAAAAAAAAACTTGATGAAGAGAACTGCCTTACCTGCCCTCTATTGGCAGGAAAAAAATTACAAAGAAGAGCAGGTTATGGGGCCATTTTTACAATAGAAATTGAAGTTATGTTGAAATTTAGACTTAAGTTGAAGACCCATTTTTATTTTAAAGTCAGTTTTGACCCAAGATAAATCTGTAATTAGTTGCAGTTACTATATTTTAGTCGACTACTACAGAGTTATTTTGGATTGAAATAGACTTACGGTTTTGTTTTAAAGATTAGATCAACTTTTTGTTTGTTTATTTATTTATTTATTTATTATTCTCTGTGATGAAACTAGACCCAGCACTGTTTTTAGACAGACGGTGCTGCCACATGGTGGTTGAAGTGGAAGTTACTGTGAACTTTAGCTAGCAACATAATGTTCAACATGATGTAACTGAAAAAACAGTGCTGGTAGTTCATGTAGTGAAAGTTTGGAATATAGACTGATACTTTTTATGTTATCATTCTAGAATGAGCTGTTAGCTAACATTTTTCTGATATATCTAAAATATTACTGAAGCATGATTATTTACTAATTTTTGATATGCACTGTATATATTTTGCAAAAATATCATGCTAGAATGAATGGAGTAAGGCTAGATTTGATAGTTACAATATTTTAGTTTAGTGTTGATTATTGATATGCAGGCTTTTACATAATGTACATTTAGTTGAAATTCTGTATTTTTCTTAATATGTTAACTAATTTGTAATGTGTAAAAGCCTGTATTTTGTAAATATTTAGCTAAATATTGTATCCCAGAACTGTTGTGTGCAAATTTTTTTTCATTACTCACAAAAATGTATAATGGTTTATAATTTGTCTGAAAACCTGGTGCAGGATATGGTTTCATTGAAACAGCACGAGGACATAGAGATGCAACATTTTTTAAAATTGAAATTTATCTGCAACAAAGGCTGTTTATTTAAACTCGTAGAAATGCCTCGGATGATGATTTGTTTCCATAGAGTTAAACAATAAATGAATAAATAAATAAATAAGTTTTCCAGTAGGGCCTAGACAACAGCAGTTAAATATATACCTATTTGGTACCAGTCAGACTGGCTTGTGATTTAAAACTTTAATTATTTCTGTGACTCTATCAATAACCTGTCAAATATACCCCCATAGCTGACCAAAGGACAGGTATATTTGTATAGAAACATAGATCAATATGTTGAGCATGGAATGTTTTCCAGTTTTAGTTCTGAACCATTCCAAAGTATGTTTTCCCCTCTGACATTTGCATTACTGGCATGGTTAAGTTACTTTCTATTGAAACCAGTCCTGTGACAGGAGGATAAAAATGAAAACCCTTAAGACTGGACATAATATGGACTAATCTGGTTAACAATTAAAGGATTTCAACGTAAAAATCCGGACTGTCCATTAAGGCTAAATCAATGACTTTTTTACTTCAGTTTGTCAGCCTGAAAAACTTGGATTAACTCCAAAGTTCCCACTTTATCTGTGTTACACCGTAGTACATATTTGAATATTCTTTAAAAATTTGTGCAAGTGTTTCAGAGAGGGTAATGTTCTGTGCAATGGACTCTTCACACTCATTGTATTCACATACTTAGTTAGGTATGAAATTTTTAAACCACAGGTATTGTGTTTATATTTAACCACACTTGATAGAAGATTTTCAGTTCAGAATTTAGTTAGCACATTAATTATGTACACTTATATTGGAAATTGAGTAGTGTAATAGTTAGCTTTCCCATTTCCTAAATTCAGTTTCAGAAACTTTGGGCTTTTCTTTATATTTCCTGGTATTATTTTTTAAGGCGCAGCCATTATCCATTCATTTGTATTACTAGCATACTTTTTCATTGAAGTTCACGAAAGGTCAAACATATTTAGTCATATTTTATATAGTTTTCTCATGCATGTATGTAGCACCTTTGAGCACTCTGTATTTCATAGAACGTAGAATAATGATATATAAAAGAAGTCATTTGTTTAATTTGTGTGTACCTATTTCATTTGCTTCTTATTAATGGTGTTTTAAGGCACACAACTTGACCAAAGTTGAATGCCAACAAGATGATTTTTAAAGAGTGTTAAGGTATTTTAAGCTCTTCCTTAAATATTTCACTTCTTATTAATTGATTAGAACTCTGAATTTTCTCTATCCAATAAATGTTCAATTCTGCCTTCCATTAAATTTAGTCTCTTTAATCTATCAACTGTTCAGGTTCTTAACTCCATCTTAAATTAGATTCCAAAGAATATATATATATATATAAAGAGTACTCTAGTGTTAATTCTGCCCTCCATTCTCTGTTGCAGTCTAAAGAAGAGACAAGCCAAATCACGTCACAGGTGACGGGACAGATCGGCTGGAGGAGAGAAGGGATCAAGTACAGGAGAAATGAACTCTTCCTGGACGTACTGGAGTCTGTGAACTTGTTGATGTCACCACAGGGTAGGTCTGGGAGCTGGACTGGGGTGGTTACATACATGTATGCGTGCAAGTTTGTGTCCACACACATACACACAGACACACACATACACAACGCAATTTGGTCTTTTGATTTCTTTGTCATGATCTAAGGTCCTTTTCACATCAAGAGGTACACTTTTTTTTTGGGGGGGGGGGCAGTTTAGGGGTCTCTTTTACATAATAACCAGTCTTATCCAGTCTCTTAAACTAGACCGGTCCAGTTAAGAGTACTGCTCAGTGTGAAAAATATAACATGTTTCTATACAAACTCCAGGTCAGGTACTGAGCTGTCACGTGGCGGGCCGCGTCATCATGAAGAGCTATCTCAGTGGCATGCCCGAGTGTAAGTTTGGCGTCAATGACAAAGTCCTGATGGAGAGTAAGAGTAAAACGTTGGAGGATTCTAATACTAGGAGGTGGGCAGGCAGTATTTCTCGGTTTAAGAAGTGCATTGTTTTCTGTATGATATCAGTTGTAATTGCAATGATTTAAGAGTTCATATTATGAAAGGGAAGATACTGAAGTTAAATGTTTTCTATCTGTGAGGCATGGCATTTCATTGACAGAAAACCTGTTTAGTCTCTGCAAAAAGAATATTATCATTTTATAGTCATAGCGCATTCAAGGAAGAAGGAAAAAAAAACAAAAAACAAAACAACTTTCACCATATTTTGAAAATAACAGAGTAACTATTTTGGAATTAAAGGAAAAATTTTATTTCAAGCTTGTGTTCTCGATCATCACTACTCTGGCTTTAGTTGAATTAGCTTTTTACAGAGATATTCTGCTGCTGCATGATGATTTGCAAACCTAATTTTCTGATATGAGGTCTTAGAGTACTGCTCAAATGATAATAATATATGTGCATTTCCAGCACTGGAACCTCGTCTGGCAAGACAGCTATTGCCATTGATGACTGTCAGTTTCACCAATGTGTTCGCCTCAGTAAATTTGAGACAGAGCACAGCATCAGTTTTATTCCTCCTGATGGCGAGTTTGAGTTGATGAGGTGAGAGGTTTTATATAGTCTTACTCTGAGGGACTAGAGTTGTGATAAATGAATAAACAAAGAATGTTATAGTACATGATGATGTTAAACCACTTTCTTTGTACGTTATTAGTTTGATTTATACACATGCCTGACCAACAGAAATTTGTGAGGTATTTGGCTAATCTAGATTTATCTAGAGTTCTGTTAAAAGGTGTAGGGAGTGGATGTTATTAGATTGAATGCCTTAATTATTATTTTTCTTCCAGTGTAAGCACCATAAATTAAAAAAAAAGCCAATAACTGTTAATAATAATTTCCAGAGCTAGGGCTTGTAGCAAATATTCAAAACTTCTGCTTGTTATGGACTTCACTCACACATCCGCTTAAAGGTAATAATTTTTACTGATTTTTTCCGTGCTTCAGATATCGCACCACAAAAGATATTAGTCTTCCTTTCCGAGTCATCCCATTGGTTAGGGAAGTAGGTCGTCAGAAGATGGAGGTCAAGGTCGTTGTGAAGTCAAATTTCAAGCCATCCTTATTGGCCCAGAAAGTGGAGGTAGGTTGGAGTAGTGCTCTATAAATTAATAAATTTGATATGCGCATCTTATTATTGAAAAAAATGAATGCGACTTTGAAGTGTATTTACAATTACCTGTACCAGCTTGATGTTTTTATGACATTCTGTTTGATTTATTGCACTTTGTTGTATTGAAAACCATCTTTCCAGCAACTATTTATCACCAAAAAAGCAAAAAAAATTAAGAATTTTAGATAAATCCTCTACTTGTCACTGAATCAGATTCATAAAATATCCCAAATTATTTTATTTCTTTTGTAGTTTTCACAGATTAAAAATCTACCCCAAATCATATTTCATTTCTATGGTTGTTGAATTCTATGAATATCGTTTATTAAAGGTGCGTATCCCGACCCCCCTCAACACTAGTGGAGTCCAAGTGATCTGCATGAAGGGAAAAGCCAAGTACAAAGCCAGTGAGAATGCCATTGTCTGGAAGTGAGTTTTACCTAGATTTCTGTTTAAATATGTCAGTAACATGATCTATGGTGATTTAGTTTGTGCCAAGATGTGTATAACAAGAATGGCAGCTGTATGTGGAAATATCATTTGAGAAAAATAATAATTATTTTAGTGGTTTTTTCATAAAAGTTGTTAAAAGTTTTTTTTTTTTATTATTATTATTTTGATGAGATGAGTTGGCTGATGATAACTTGTATTGTGCATTTTTGGATAGGAAATGTTTGAAAGAAAAAATAACAATAATGACAGCAAGAACAATTACCAATAATGTTTTACCCTGTTTGCCCCCCCCCCCCCCTTCATGAATTTCTTTTGAATATCTCTGCAAATGTAACTGATTATTTTATGTTCTGTCTCAGAATCAAGCGTATGGGTGGTATGAAGGAGTGCCAGCTGAGTGCGGAGATTGAGCTGCTGAATACTAGTGACAAGAAGAAGTGGACCAGACCCCCCATTTCCATGAACTTTGAGGTGGGTACTTGATTAAATTACAGAATTTTTTTATGTTTAGTTCAAAGAAACTTCATCTCTCTCTCTCTCTCTCTCTCTCTCTCTCTCTCTCTCTCTCTCTCTGATTATTGTAAGTGAAATAATTCATATATGTAGGATTGTATAATAGTAAATTAGTAATATATAAGTGTAGTTATACAGAATGGAAAAAAAATAACAAGATCTGTGAAATATTTTTTTTTAAACTTTGAGAAAAAAAAAACATTTTGGCTAAATCCATTTGAGAGCTTAATTTCTCGCATACCCGGTAATTTCAGGTTCCATTTGCCCCCTCTGGGTTCAAGGTGCGCTACCTGAAGGTGTTTGAGCCGAAGCTAAACTACAGCGATCACGATGTCATAAAATGGGTGCGGTATATAGGTCGCAGCGGGATATACGAGACCAGGTGCTAACCTTTGAGGTGATTGGATGAGATGACTTTATTACATTTCTTCTTTGGAAATTTGTCAACCTTGTAACCTGGTAGCAGAATTACTTTTTTGATAACTCAAAGATGCGTGTTATGCCTGAGAAAAATGGAAATGAGATGATATTTTGCCTTGAGAAAAAACTTAAGTACTTTAGTTCCATGTCATTGACATTCAACTGCATTGCATTCAATAGTGCATAAGAGGTCTATAGAGTGTTATAAAACTCTGTTATTTTGACAAAAGTTAAATGCTGCAATGAAAAAAGGCTTTGTTCCTGAAGTTTGTACAGAAGAAATAGTTCAAATCTGAAGTTAAAATTGAATGATCTTGGTATAGTTAACTCAAGTCGTAAAAAAAAGCGTGAAGGGGGGAATTATGTACAGGGGGCAGCACTCAGAGCAGTATCAAGAGGAGCCCTTTCCACAGCTGCAAATTTCATTTCTATGAATATCATCGTGTCTGCACATGTTTATTGTTGTATTGTCATCAGTGTCAGAGGCAGTGGCTGTATTGTTGCAATGGTTCAACGTCTGTTTAACTTTCAGATCTGTGTTTTAGGATGTAAAACTGAAATATCATATCTGCTGTACTTGGTCATTGGCACTTTATCTTTGGTGATAATTGTAACAAGAATTCTTCAATTTTGTCAAATTAGAGGTCTATTTATGGAATCTTTTTGCCAACTTGAGTGCAGATGTAGAGTAAAACAGCATTTTTAAGAAGAGAATTGACTTCCACATATATTATAGGTTTACTATATGGCTGTAATAATGACACTAAACTAATTCAAACCATTTAATTGTTTATACATCAGTGGATGTTTGTGCTAAGGAGGTCTCTGTGTAGAGCCTGTTGTTATGACATGTAACATTGAAGTAAGGTCCTATACAGAGCAGTTATATTATGTCAAAGTATGTAGAAGAAATCATAGATAATGATGTCTAGAAGATTGACGTGATGTACAATAAAATGAAGTCACTATGAACTAGTTTTTGGTCTTTTTTGGAAGCTTTCAGGATCAGACTAGCTTAAAAATGAACCATTTTAGTCACGTCAGTGACGCACATTTTGTTTGATATTTTCCCAAGTATTTACTTTTAATATAATATCACTATCAAAGTGATATAATATCACTATCAAATCACTGTTGATTTTTTTTCCACATCAACGTATACTCAAAAGTCTACTGGTACAAAACGGCGAAAGCCAAGTTATGATTGTGCGGTATGTAATCGGACCGGTTTGCTTTGAGAGGTTGACAAGTAGTTTTAAAGTAAAAGTCGCCCAAACAGAGACGCAGCTGAATGCTCGATGTGAGGTGGTAATTGTAATAATTAAATACCATTTCTTGGCAATGAAAGAAATTAAAATCAGGGACATGTACTTATGATACGAGCGGCTTTTTCTCACAGTACTTATATCTAGGGCACTTCACATAATTTTGAATCAACGAGACGGGTGGAATTTTTTTGTACAATATTTCAAATGTTTAACCAAAGAAAAAACCTTTAACCCAATATTTGTTTTTGTTGGAGATACTAGTTTTTCTAGTAAGTATAAGAAACGTCAAAATAGAAAATATGGTGTGTTTGCAGAGTGTTGAGGATTTGGCAAGTGGCATTGTGTTAGAGAAGCCTGCTGTAGGAAAACACTGGGTGCTGGTCGCAACCGATTTTGACCATTCCCTCATCAATCCCTTGTAGGAAATAAGTGGGGAATATTTTGTTTGAAATTGCATACATTTGCCTACAGACAATCTTTATATTTTTATGATTTTTTTTTCACTTCAAATTCACGTTATTCAAATTTTTCCTGTCTTAAATTTGATTAAATTTGACTTCACTGCGATTTTAACCATGACTTTTCATGGTTAACAAAAAAAATATATGGCGTGATACCTTAAAAATTGCAATTTGAAGTCCCTCAACCCAACATTGTAACTTTAACTTTCAAACTTGAGAAACAGTAAGAAAAGCATCAAATATAGTTAAAGTGTGTTTATTTTTGGTACATTTGAGGTAGTGAATATAACTACAAAAATAAAAACTGTCTGAAAAATCAAAATTTCAATACTATTACAAATTTATACTTCTTGAAATAGATATGTATCATAATCGATTCCACGTCGTTTGGAATGTAACTGGCCAGCCAGAAACACCTCTATCTGAAGGTTCTTCCCAAAAAGAAACCCAGGAAACAATCCTCAAAGCTTAGTCACTCTCATATGCTGAAGGGCTTCCATAGACGTTGGGCTTGCCGTACTTAGCTAATGCCGACATTCGTCCCAGAGGGCCACCAAACAACGGGATACCCTTTGACCCCATTCCCGGAGGAACTCCAAAACGAGGTTGTGGCTTTGGAGCGGAATTCCCGCCAGCCCCGTAGCCCTGCATGGACTTGGGCAGGCCATATTTCCCACCAGCGGAAGACGGAAAAATACCCGCAGGAAACTGTCGTGAACTTTGGCTTCCACTGGACGCCAAACCGTAAGCCGGACCTCTAGGACGATTTTGGAGCGTTTGAACTGCTGATGGGAGAAAACCAAATCGGCCAGTCGGTCCTCCTGCTAAAGTTGATTTTTGTCCAATGCGACCGAACGGAGCGATGATGCCGCCTGTTACCCGGGAAGCAGCGTTTGGTGACTTATCCTCTGGCAAGATCTCGATAGCAGGACCTTCAAAAGAAATATATATTTAGAATAAATTAGCAGAATAAATTTTATATCGTGGAACATTTGTGTACGTGTAACAAATATTAATGAAAGAAAACTGTGTTGCAAAATATGTTAAAGTTAAAAATTCAGAATTTGAAAGTATGGAATGGTGCATTTGACACAGGCTACGTAACTGAAATAATGAAAAAAAAAGGAATATAAAGAATTTTGATCCGTTCCTGCGATAGAAAAGACAGCATAAAGAACACTTACCGTCTCCCCCCGGGACTGAAGGAGGTCCGTTTAAGAAAAAGGGGCGAGGCATGGGGCGTAGCATAGGGCGTGGCCTGGGGCGTGGCTGTAAGATTGGCAAGTCCGTGTCGCAAGGCACTGGGTAGATATCGCCCTCAGAGGCACAGACTGCTTTCATCAGGTCACACCTTTAGCAAAAGAAAGGAAAAGAAAAATGTACAGTTTTTATTAATCAAGACGTCCAAAAAGGGGAGCAATAGCGCATTTGAAGGGGAGAGGGTTTAATGTTAAGATTATTGAAAATTACGGTGAGTAGCATAATTTTTACGTAAGAGGTGCACGGTCAGATTACAAGAAAAATAATTTAGTTTCTGTATCAGTATCTAATTTACATGGTTGTGAATAATGTTTCAAAATCTCTCTCTCTCTCTCTCTCTCTCTCTCTCTCTCTCTCTCGAAAACACAGACTCTTGTAAAAGCATAATAATCACAATGGTAATAAAAAAAAAATACAAAATTACACACCGAGATTCATATTTGTTTCCATCCGAACCACATACTTCCGGAGCCCCTTCCGGTGCCAGAGGGCAACTTTCAGGGAGAGTGGCACAGAGTTCTTCCGAAAAGGGCGGTTTAAAGCCATCCCCGGGATAAGGGGGAGGGGGGCGTCCCTTGAACGGGTCAGAACCCTCGCATGGGACCAGGAATATTTTGACATCCGAGCCGCACCCTGCCTTTTGGAATTCACACCTGTAAATTAAATAATGCATCTTCAATTTGTTGCAGGCTGGTCGTCCTATTACTCAATATAATGCGCAGAAGAAGGCGCAGAAGAATACGCAATGTTAAGGAAGTACATACAAAATAGAATCAACCGTTTTAAATAGGTATTATTTCAGTTTGTTAACCTAACTTAAACGGATATCATGGCAAGGGTTTATCATCTGTGTGTGGCGTGACGGTCGTTTCCATATATTGTAACTTTAAAATTACATATTGCAACACGCGATTAAAAGTGACTTAGGAATGAGGACATTCTCAACAGGGTCAATGTAGGTGCTGTATAAAGTACTTACGGTGAGGAATATGTTTTTCCGTCAGATCCACACAGTTCCGGAAGTCTATCCGGCGCCTCTGGGCACACTTCCGGTAACATATCACATATGTCTTCCATTGGCGGTCTCAGAGGGGGAGGTAAGAGTCCGGGTGGGAATGCATCATCGTCGCCCTCACAACGGACGGGCCTTATCTTTATGTCTGAGGCACAGTTGGCTTTTTGCATTTCACATCTGAAAGTTAAAAAAAGAAAAGGTTCTGCCCATCACATCTGGTTCCAAAATTTCCAAACTAATGCATGCAGTATCACAGGTTGTTTCAGGTTGTAAGCTGCTCAACACAACAAGAGAAAAAGGGGTTGTGTCGCTGTTTCCAATTTGAAATGACAGATTTTCTATCTCCTATCCATCTATTTCCAAAGAGGGAAAAGACTCTCAGAGGCCATCAGAAGCATGTGTTTAAAGGTCTCTGTTGTTCAAAATAGGGTTGACTGCGCCAGTGATACATAACACTTACGGCGAGGAATATGTCTTCCCGTCAGATCCACATAGTTCCGGAAGTCCATCCCTTGCTTCTGGGCACACTTCCGGTAACATATCACATATGTCTTCCACAGGCGGTCTCGGAGGGGGAGGAAAGAGTCCGGGTGGGAATGTCTCATCGTCGCCCTCACAACGGACCGGCCATATTCTTGTATCGGAGGCACAGTTCGCCTTCTGCAGTTCACATCTGAATGTTGAAAAAAGATAAAGTTTCGCACATCACATCTGGCTCCAAAATTTCCTAAACAAATGCAGTATCATATGTTGGCTCCAGGTTGTAAGCTGTTCAACACATCAAGAAAGAAGAGAGTTTGTCAATGTTTCTTATATGAAATGACAAATTTTCTCACTCCCACATATCTCTTTCCAAAAAGGGAAAAGACATCTCAAAGAGAGCAATCACATCAAGAAGAGTCGAGATCTAGCAAGGCCGAGACCTAAGTATGGTGGACCTACATGAAAGGAAGACCGCATAATCCTTTAATGGTCCCTCAATGAATGTCATTATTGGCAAACAACATGTCATTGAGAGACCATTAAAGGACTACGCGGTCTTCCTTTCATGTAAGTCCGCCATATTTAGGTCTTGGCCTTGCTAGACCTCGGCTCTTCTCGGTGTGAATGCTCTCAAAGGCCATCAGAAGCATGTGTTTAATGGACTCAGTTGCGCTGAAAGGGATTGACTGTGGGGACGTACCACATTTGCCAGTGATGTATAACACTTACGGCGAGGAATATGTCTTCCCGTCAGAACCACACAGTTCCGGAAGTCCATCCAGTGCCTCTGGGCACACTTTCGGTAACATATCACATATGTCTTCCATTGGCGGTCTCAGAGGGGGAGGCAGAAGTCCAGGTGGGAATGTCTCATCGTCGCCCTCACAACGGACCGGCCATATTTTTGTATCGGAGGCGCAGTTTGCTTTCTCCAGTTCACAACTAAGAATAGAATAAAGAAAGTGAAATGTTTTTACAGAAAGTTCCAAAAAGTAGTATAATAAATATTGTTGCCAAGGGGAAGGGGAGTCTGGTAGGGCGGGGTTTTGCCTCCCCATATACATGTACATGTACATTTAGTGTTTCTACGGATTCCAACGGAGACAAAAGTTTCCCGTAATCAGTACTACAAAGTGGGATTGGTAGAGTGGGTGTATGGGGTGTACATGTTTGTCAAAGGCACGGGGTCCTTTTCTTTATGTCTTAATGTCCATCTTCTAGTTACGGAAAATACTCACGGTGAAGAGTACGTGTTCCCGTCAGATCCACAGATTTCCGGAAGTCCATCCGGGACATCTGGGCACACTTCCGGTAACGTCTCACACCTGTCGTTTGAAGCCGGCCATCTTGGGGGAGGGAAGGGTCCAGGTTGCCCAAAACCGCCAGATTGCGCGGTGCCTGCACAACGGACGGGCCATATTTTCGTATCGGAGGCACAGTTCGCTTTTTCCAGTTCACATCTGAAATGAGACAGCAGCGGATGGTTATTTTTTGTTATTCATTTTGCCAACTAAAGTGTTTCATATAATATAGCCTATTCAGTATTTCATTTTGATTTCATAAATGCTCAAATTTTTCTGTTTATTGATTATCTGTTTCTATATGTGAATGTTAAGAGTCATGTTTTACCTGTGTGCCAGGAACGTAAGTCCTGGGAATGGAAGTTTGACTACCATATGATAAGTACAGGTGAGGGGTAAGCCGCAAGCATAGACTGAGTACCTTTTCGGGCAAATGTCACTTGTACAGAAAAAGTAATGGGAAAAGGACTACGGTTAATGGATGAATACCATTCCTGTGCCACCGTTTTTTTCCCATACATTCACCCAACTTACTGGGAAGTGTACGTCTTGCCATCTGACGCACACAACTTAGGCGTCCCTTCCTTTGCAAGGGGGCACTCAGGCAGCGAACCACACTCGATCTCTACGCTTGGTCTGAAACCTGTTACCACGCTAGGAGCAAAGCCTGGAGAACCGCCGGACACAGGTGGAGGGCCGCCGTTGGTAAAAGGCTTTTTGCCGCCAAACAGCGTCACGCTCGGTTTGAAGAAGGGCGCTTCGTCTTTGCAGGGAACGCGGTACACGTCGTCTTCAGAATCACAGTTTGCTTTTAGCAGGTCGCATCTAGGTGTAACGAATTAAATATAGTGGTAACTTATATTGTCTGCAGTTAATAATGCAATACTGGAGTTTTGGTTCCGCATAAGTTGAATCGATTATTTATGTTAAGTATGTTAAATATATTACATTTCACTTCACAATAAAGTACATGACTTTTGATGACAAGGATTGAAATATAACTAGTAAGCTTTTTGTGCAATCTTTTGTCGATCCAAATCCTTTTGACGATCCAAGTTGGTATATTGTTTCCTCCAGACTAAGCGCAGGAAGAGAACTATACTCCATTATGACACTAAGCATTTTTTGACCAAAGCCTTTTACTCACGTGGACGGGTATTCTTTCCCATCCGAGGCGCAGATCGTGGGGGCCTCTGGCGGAAAAACGGGACACTTATCGGGGAGCGTCTCACAAATGTCCGTCAGTGGTTTCATAGGAGGCATCTTCCTCCCAGCTCCTGGTGAAGTGAAGTGAGACATCACATAAGGCTAGATCTGTCAACAAACGCAGTCCATCGTTTCAAAAGGATACGTATTAATAGGATAAAAATTGTTGAATGAAACATTTATAACTGAAAGGTAATATTAAAAAAACATACCATTATTCACTTTTGGTCCAAACGGTTTCGGTGCCATATTACCAAATGGGCTCGGTAGATATCGGCTTCCCATTGTTTGAGGCGCAAATGACTTTTCATTAGGTTTTCCGCTTTTAAATCCGTTATTGCCACTAGTTGGCGGGGCTGATCGTGGTCCTGATAGTACCCACATAGCGCGGCCCTCAGCTGGTCGTTCACCAGCAAGGCAAAGGGCTGGAAAATGAAGAAAAGAGGATAAAGCCAAATAAGAACAAGCAATGAAAGCTGAATACACGGGTGCGGAAGGCTTCCTTTTGGAAGCGCACGTTCATGTTCGCGCTCGCTACAGTTTGCGCTTGCACTCAAATATACCCGATGTACGCTTGGGTCATTACAACTGTAACTCCCTGTGTTCCTTTCATTTTAGTTAAACAGTAGTCTGTATAAAAATAGTTAATTATTTGGTATATGTTTACTGCTTCACTGTTTTGTAACATGTAGGTCGATCGGCTCCACATAGCCACATTGCCTGTGGATAATTTTCTGGGGCAGCATGCTGTATTTTCAAACCGTCCGCTGGGTCTCGACGTCTTGCCAAAATACGTACATTGTCAAAATAGGCACTTTTTAGATGAATGCTCTACTAATTTCAAATAAAATGAGAGTTCATTATAATTTATTGTCAAGAAGGACACCAAATTACTTATATGCAATTCAAAACATGAATATGAGAATATAATGATTTACAAGGTACTATTTGATGTCTCTCAGTGGAATCGACAATTTGCTATTTGTGTGAACGTAACGCTTAAATCGTTTGTATCCCAACCTCCCCTAAAACAACACCAATGCGGTTATTTCTAGATACATATACATCAATTAGTGATATATATTTTGAAATACAACTTTGCTGAAAAAAAAAATACATAAGAAGCAGCTTTTCTTCCTTGATAATCACAAGACCTACTTGTTCTGACAGACGCACTACACTGCACGTAATTTAACATGACACCAACACTTGCAACCGTGCTCAAACAAGATAAAAATGAAACAAAAAACTATTTTATATTCATTAAATGTTATGCTGTTAATTGAAGAGTCTGTACATGTATAAACCAAAATACCCAATACTTGTAACATAAAGGTACTGGAATTAAACTCCCATTAAAAGGGAGTAAAACAAACACACACACACACACACACACACACACACACACACACACACACGTGGGCACACACACTTGTATTTTAATCACTATGCAGACTTACATTCGTCCCATCATTTCCGTTTACGCTCGAGAGATTTCTGTCAAAACAAGAACAAAATTACGAATAAAGGTTGGTTATTTGAGAGATTTGAAAAAATGGCTTTATGGTGGAATGCCGTGGTGAATAATTTTGACTTAAATAATGTGGTTATGGAGATTTTAACATGATAGGCTCCTATGCCACGCGAAGCGGTGCTCTTTCAGTGGCGAATTTAGGGAGGAGGGTGTCAGAGGGGTCCTGACCCCCCCCTTGGATTTATGAAAAAAATCTCACCAATCGTCCCTTCTTAAAATTAGATTTTTGACTATCTGAATCATAGTTCTAAGCCGTACCAAATGGCACCGTTCGCCCTCTAAAATACAAACAAGTTTCGGGGCCCTTAAACGGGCCCTGAATCCCACGCCAAGGGGGGAGGCAGGGTCGGCTTTGCATCTGCGGCCTGTCATTTTTCAAAACAGTACCCCCTTCAAATAACCTTGGATCCACCCTTGTCTTTGTAGGCTTTAAAAGAGCAGCGAAAACGATCGGGAATAAATAGTTTCCATTAGACTGAAAAGGGTCATTTAGGCCACAGGGGAGGGGTATGGTTTGACAGTGCAAAACAGTTAATACATGTATTAACTCAAACTAGGAAGGAGTAATGGAGATGCAAGAAAAGCGTCAAGATCACTGTTTGAATACATCAATGGAAGAGCTCATGGCGTCATTATTGTCTTGTTAGACAGTTGTCAAAGTGTTTTCCTATGTTTTTATCAGCTCAAATTCATCGCCCATTGTGCCAACTACAGTCTGTCACGCGATTATCACATTTAGGCATCTCCGATAACGTAAAAGATAATTCAGGAAATGTTACTTGTTTAACATGCAATTTTGCCATTTTTGAGGTCAGAAAAGAGGAATTCTTCACTTTCATTTCTGATAAAGAATGTGGGACTGGCGTCAAATTATTGTCGTCCGTTTTCGAAAATTGCTGATTCTTGTTTAACAACGAAACACAAGATTCACTATTTTTCCCCTGAGAGGAGAATTCTGCACACAGTTTTCTTTGAGGATTTGAACTAGAAAAGTCACAATGCTTGTTTATTTATTCAGTCATATTGCCCCTAGGCAAAAATTAACTCAACGGCAAAATTCTCTTCATATTTTGTAGACATACCTTACAGCTATATCCCAACAACAGCCCCTATTATATACCAGTTGTTTAATTTCCCATGGCTAATCTACTTTTTTCTGTTGGGAGCTATTTTTACAGACTAATCCGCAAAGCCTTACAGGTATTGATGCATTGTGGTGACTTAATAGATTTCATCCTAATTATGCAACTAAGGTCAAAACTGCCATAACCAGGGCCACGGATTAATTTTCCACTGGATAATCCCGGATTTATATGCATATGTGAATATGTCTCTGGGTTATTTTTGACATTTTTTTTCGAATGTGGCGAGATTTTTTCCATGGAATTTATTGCATCACTCAGCTGGTCCACTCTAGGGGTGCTTTCCCAGAGATTTAGGCTGTATTCCCAGAGCTTTTAGATCGATCTATCCCCGCGGGGAGTCTCACTAGATTACTGTCAGATAATCCGGCTTAAATGTCCGTCCCGCCTACTACAACCTGTAAGGGGGTAATTAACTTTCGTGTCCGCCCGGCTGACAGCTATTTAGCGTGAACCCCCAGGGAGTTAGGTCGATCTAAAGTAGATCGATCTAATCTCTGGAAACGGGGTCTTAGTTCGATCTAGAGATTAAGATTTAGATCGACCTAACTCCCTGGGGGTTCACGCTAAATTGCAGTCAGCCGAGCGAGCACCATAGTAAATTACCCCCTTGCAGCTTTTAGTAGGCGGGACAGACGCTAAGAGCCGGTCAAGCTGACAGTAATCTAGTGAGACTCCCCACAGGGATAGATCGATCTAAAAATCTATGGAAATGGGGTGTAGTATACAGTATTCCAAGACCACGGGGAAGAGATTAACATAATTGAAATAAAATTGCGAAACCGTATTCTAAATTGCTACGGCAGCCTCATTTTGTACGGGAAAAAAGACAATCAGTGACTAAAAAGGAAAATCGACCTAAAAAAAACACAATACAAAAATTTAAGCCGAGACTCTACTTTATCTTATAGCCCTTTAAGATTTTTTAATTCTAACAAAAAAAAAAAAAAGCAAAAAGAAAAAAACTNATATAAAAGCAAAAAATAAAATAGTGTTCCACTTATCGTGTTTACAAGGAAAGTGCACGGCATCGGCATCGGCATCGGCATCGCCATCGGCGACGACGGCGACGACAGACACAGGTGATGGCAATATGTACAGACACATCTGTGTCTGTACATAAAAAGCAAACAGCAAAACACTTGAAGTTATGAATTGATATCCCATAACACATAAGGCTTCTGTTAGCTCCCATCAAGAAATAAGGCGAGCAGTTCGATCGTGTTGTATTCAGGAGATGAAGGTTAGAAATATGGACAGTGCAACAGCTAGGGCCATGTGTCCGTATAACTTGACCATGATGGAAGAGGAGAGGGAAAGAGAGAGCAAACCAGGGCAGAAGAATGAGAGTTAGCCCATGAGAGGGACGACAAGCGACGAAGTTTGGTCTTTAAACATACCGGCACCCCGTCCTGAAGTGATAAACCGTCTCAGTGGTTGAAAGTTTTGTTTTTGTTTTTTTATTGTGTTTTTAGATGAAACAGAGTTATGGCCGCCGATCTCATTAAAGCTACATTATTAAAAGTGTTTGTGTCGAGATAAAGATGATTTGTAAGAGATTATTCGTTTGAGATACGCATAAACGAAAAACCCACGGATTAATTTTGAAGGCAGCGCTTTAATGCAAGATAGAAAACACAAGGTAGCAAAATATTTTGGTGGATCGAAATCGAAAAGAAAAGAAAATAGATGTCTTAAGGGCTTATTTGTGAGTCAACTGCCCAAGTTTCAATGGACGGGGAAAATGAACGGTCGATACCAGTCTTTAATGAAAAATGACCAAGACTGCGGAAGCTCACAATCAGTAATTAATGTGTAAAATGTAAAAATTAAAACTCATTTTTATACTTACCCAGCAATGCTGCAAGTTGTACTTGGACTTTCACCATACTGACTGTCTTCAAATTTCTTTGCGTCTTTCGGGGTCAGCAAATGTTTTTCTGTCTCTAATTTGTATAATAAACGAAAATATTCCCCAACCTTTCAGCAAGAGTTAACCCGTTTCTGATTGCTTGTCTCACACTTTGCTCGCAGTGTATCTAGACGTACATGTACCAGTAGGCCTTTTTTCACTGTCCGTCTTAACTCGGATCCATATATCCATTATATTGGATCCTACATCTTAAATAGGAGATCTAGTGGGTACAATTACCCGGCACGTTATTTTAAATCAGATATACTTAATCTTTCTTTTAAATTTGGGACCCAATTTATGTCCGTAATTACCACGTACGAGTCATGACTCAGACTATCAGTGAAGATACTGTGCACCTGTTCTATCTAGGCGAAAGTCCTAGATATTTATTTATTTATTTATTTATTTATTACTTTTTGCACAAGTTTGAGAATGGAAAGTAAAATGACAACACACGTCAATTTGACGAATAGAAGCAGGCTGAAAATAGAATTTATATTTGATACAAACACTGAAATCGGATGTTATTATTTTTTAAAATACAACAGGGGTTTAGATAATATGAATTGCCTCGTGCGAGTACCATGAATTTAGTTCCGGTGTTTTGTTATTTTTTCAGACTTTATTGTGACCTTTGGGCACTGAAATAAACAGGCTTTATCAGAATCAGGTTTCAAGATTAAACTGCGATGTCTCTAGTTGTACTAGTTAATTAGTTCAAAAACCTCTGTTCACCCTTATTCGTGTACATGAGCATCTCGCACTGGTGACGCAGATATTAACCTTTAAGCTAGAATTAAGTGATGGGTCTAATCTTTCTTTCACCCCTGGTACCGTTATTCTTCCCGAGATCGACATCAAAAGTTGGAATAAAGTCGTGACTAACAGCGTCACGGCCGGTGAACTGTCATTTTCCGTTACGTGCATGGTTGAATATGGAGGTCAACTTGAAGGTGAGCAAGTTGAAAGGAGGTAAAAAGCCCAGAAGTGAAAATTGACATGGTATTAATTTTTGGACACTTTAACAGAGATTTTCCACCAACATTTTTTTTATTAAGACGTACCCTTGGGGTTAAGACTATTTTTTTAAAAAAGAATTTTTTGCTTTGGCTTTGGTTAGGCAACCCTGAGTGTCAGAGGACAGTAAAAGCTAGCTTGTTAACTAAGGGATCACTTTTACTGGTATTGCTGATATGGGTTATATATGGAATCAAGATCGAGCTGGCAATACCGGAATCTAGAACCTAGGGTATGGTTGCCTTGCCTACCTGAATATTCCTTTCGTTTAATCTAAGTTTATTTATCTATTAAATTTGGTTAAAAGCACAGTGTGTGGCCAAGAAGAGTTATTTAATTAGTGAAAAATTGTAACAATAAACCATTCCTTAGGCAAATACTTGCAAGGTACATTAAAGCCGACCTTTGTCTCGCCCTCAGGAGACTTCGCATTGTTAGCGAACATATCAATTGGATCCCTGACTGATCTTATAAGCCATTCACTATTTTGATGAAAGTGAGGAAATCAATGGTTTTTGGGCTAAAAGGCAAGATATATACAAGATATATAAAGAGCTGGAAAAAGAAGAAAGGAGGACAAAGCCAAATAAGAACGGATCCACAGATATTTTCTGACAGTCTTCCAAATTATCTTTGTTGATCCATCCTTTATTTTTGACTGTCTTCCGACAGAATAAAAATAGATACCCGTCAATGCAAACTTTAAAATCTGGTCGTCTTCCGGAAGACCCAGAAGACGGTCTCAATCCGCCCCTCTTTATACACGTACATTTGTTCTTGCATTGATATGATGCTGAGATGGCAATTGAGGCCACGACATCTACACAGTCTGGAAATAAGTTTCTTTCGTGCTGAACTGTAAGGCGCCTTGAGATAGAATGTAAGGCGCCATATAAGAATCTTATTATTATTATTATTATTATTATTATTATTATTATAATTATTATTAACTGTGAATAGGGATCAAATGTGCACGTATCGAGTGACGATTAAAAAAAAACACAGAACAGCACTATAACTCCGTCCCTAATTCACTGTCAAAGTTCATCTAAGCAAAAGGGAACAAATTCAACAGGTGATAAATGCGTAGAACTAAAGCGACACAATGAATTATCAAAACATTTATCTTCAACGATCTTGAGTGAAATTAAGAAATAGATTAAGTCTTATTTCCCACCTTTATTTTTTTGATAAAATACCTATCTCTGGTACTCTCTTATGACATAAATTCAAGGAAATCACTCGGAATCATTGTATTATATTCACTGCGATAAACGAGGTGGCTCTTCAATGAAGTTGTGTTTTCAATGATATTTTTGACAAAAAAAAAACAACTTTTTCTATGATTGTCCTGTGACATCTAAATGAATTGTTTCTATGAAATACACTGTATAAATAGATTAAGAAATGAGACATAATATTCATCTGGAATCTTCATAACACCAACATGTACCGGTAGGTACTGGTCAATTGCACATTTTTTTTTTTTTTTGTGACCAATATTCGAAAGTTGGAACGAAAAGTGTGGTCACGTTTAACCTCTGTATAAAAAAAACTATTGATATAATTCTTTTTTTTTCATCGACCAAATGCTCCAAAGAATAATTGGCATCTAGGATCTATCATATGTTCGTTGGATCCTAATTCGCACTGATCGAAGAATGATAGTACACATATTAATCTTAAGAACAAATGGTGTAAAATTGGCGTGGAAAAGATACCGATCAAATTCAAACTTTTTTGATTAAATTGATTGTTCAACGATTACTTTATGCTTAATTTTCTTTCTTTTTATCCATTTATCCTTTTTGGTAATTTCCTTGTGCACAGGCTGTTTGTCGTGAGACACTTGAAAATGAGCCATCTTAACAAATTTTTCCAAGATTTAACAGTCCTGGAAAGAAAAGGATTCGAGAGCAATTAAGCATACATATAACATACATACATATGCTTTATTGTAGCTAAACGTACATAGGTAGATGAAAATTTTCAATAAAAATGCATAGGATTCTCATAGGCATTAAATCCCACAGCGTTCTATCGTAAGTAACTTAATAAAAGGATCCTACTCTTATTAATTCAGAATTATGTTGACAGACTCGTAAATCACGGGATTACAAATTTGGCTTCTAATATTGCAATTACATTTGAAGTGATGTGAAATAGTAATTGAATAAGGGGTACCGGAGGAGACGAGAATTGTTCAGAATTGTGCCGGAAGTGACGTGTAGTAGTGTAAGACGCGAAGCTGAGTGGTCATTTTTAGCTGGAGGTTAACGGGAGTAAAGACGTTGACTTGGAGAAAAAAGTTTTTCTAACAACACGGTAAGATAATAATTTATCTTTATGCATTTGGGACAGAGAATATTTGTAGAAATAATTGGAGCATGAAAACGTGCCACGGACTTTAACGGTGAAAAATTGCAGACAATTTGTTTTGAATATATGCTGCATCAACCGCCAGCGGGACAAAGAGCGTCAAGGGAAAAAATTCCCGATGGACTATTAATCGTTGTCTTGTGGAATTTTTGCATGTCTGCAATCTGTTATACCCATATCTAAATATATTTGGGTGTTTTATGGTATGTGCTGCAACCAACGGACAATAGAAATGTCACCACCTTAATCAGAGTAATCAGACAATAAGCAAGTAATCAATAATCAAAGTAGGCAAATCTTGAATAGTTATAATGCCTGGTCTACATTTTTTTTTTTGTGAAATTTGATGTTAATAAAATGATACCAGGAGCATATCATTCCACAGTCATTTATCTCCCCCAAAGTATTGGTTCAGTAGGGGTGACACTTCTATTGTCCATTGTGGGTACGGTTTATGTAAAACGCGCCTTGCGGCTAGAGCGATAAACGTGACGCGCGCGTTTACAAAAGGTGCTCCTGAGTTCGGATTTCCGGTAATATTAATTCGCGTGTATGAGCCGCTCCCTGTGTCACGCAATTCTACGTTACAAAAAGAAGAATTTTATCATTCTTTTTTTTTGTCGGTTCAAACCAAGGAGCTGTAATAGATTCATTGGTTCAAATGTATTTTAAAAAGAGTGTCGATTGCGTTTATCATAGCATTGTAGATAATTAATTTGTAAATGGGTTTTATAAGTTTGCTTGTCAAAATGTCATTTGTACTCGAGGTTGCGACAGGTATTTTAACTTCCTCAACGGTTAAAATTAAACACAAAATGGAGACAGGTAACAACGTACCCCAATTAAATATGACGGAAGAGACATATAAAAGAGGACGATATTGTGTGTCTTTTTCAAAGCTTAATGCTAATGTGTCAGGATTTTCAAAGGGGGGGGGGGCTTTTTCCGAAAAAGTATACCTTCTACCATGAAACCTCGTGTACTTTGCTGAAAATTTTACCCGACAAACAGGAGGCTCGTTCGAACTTCCCCGGACCCCCCCCCCCCCCCCTTAGCTACGGGCCTGTGTGAACTCCTGTATACTGGAGTGAAAGAAATGGAAAACATCTTGTTAGATTTTACGCTAACTGGCGAAACTTTTTGCACTCTATAATTCATCTTTTATTTCCTCATTTCTTCATTGGATATCGCTCCCTGTACAAAAGTTCCGAAGCTTTACGAGAGAGAAATCCTGGGAGGATATATAGTGGAATAACGAAACTTAATTTGATTTGAAATATTGGATTTGATAAAAGCCTTTTTGGCATCTGTACAATTACCAGCCAAGCTGCGACGCTGAATCGTGCAAGGTACATAAAGTGCAAAAAAAAAAAAAAAAAGAAAAAAGAAAGAAAACGCAAGGTTGCGTGCAATGCTAAAACACGGAGGTGTTGCAACGGTATTTGTTTGACGTTTTGTAACAATTGTTTTATGTATGCGGTTTGTTTTATTCAATTAGGCCTCCTTTTACGTTAGATAATACGTGTGTTTCCAATTGAAGTAACCTTCGCAATAAGTTTGATTTGATTGAATAGATAAGTAAATTGAATGCTGTACTTGCGTGTACCATGTGCCATTTTGGCGACAGATTAGAGTCTAAAGTAGTCTATACAAGTGGCAAGTATCCTGTGAGATAAATTAATGATATCTAACTGCAGCTACATGCGAAAAAATTATTATTATTATTATTATTATTATTATCATTATTATTATTATTATTATTATTATTATTATTATTACTGCCAGACTTTCATCATTATCATTATTACCATCATCATTTTCAGAGTTTAAAAAGGTACTTTATCAGGAAATGAGGCTACAAACGGCTAGTAAGATATTAGAGTCATAATAGCTGTGATTTTTTATATGTATCTGTTGTCTGTAGGAACTATCATTCTAACACGTAGACATGACACAGTTAATGAAATTCTTTTCTGGCTTGATTTTATGATTAAAAAAAACTTAAGGTGCAAATGTTGTGAAATGAACGAAGAAAATGGTGACAGGTATAATTGTACTGTACAGCAATCTCCTTATATGATACCAGTGTCTTCTCTTCTCCGTGTTAGAACGTCTACGGGACCTCTACACTACGCTTTAAGACGTTTAAGGGAGCGTTCCCATAACCCTATTTTACCAGCTGGATCGATCTAACTCCTCTGAGATTCCCTCTAAATTGCATTCAGTTTAAGCGGCTTAAATGTCTGGCACGCCCCTTCGTAACTTAAAGTAGTTGGGTTAAGTCGGGAAAACTTTGTGATCCATGATGTTGTTCATGTTGCTTTGTGAGGCNCCTTAGCTACGGGCCTGTGTGAACTCATGTATACTGGAGTGAAAGAAATGGAAAACATCTTGTTAGATTTTACGCTAACTGGCGAAACTTTTTGCACTCTATAATTCATCTTTTATTTCCTCATTTCTTCATTGGATATCGCTCCCTGTACAAAAGTTCCGAAGCTTTACGAGAGAGAAATCCTGGGAGGATATATAGTGGAATAACGAAACTTAATTTGATTTGAAATACTGGATTTGATAAAAGCCTTTTTGGCATCTGTACAATTACCAGCCAAGCTGCGACGCTGAATCGTGCAAGGTACATAAAGTGCAAAAAAAAAAAAAAAAAAAAAGAAAGAAAACGCAAGGTTGCGTGCAATGCTAAAACACGGAGGTGTTGCAACGGTATTTGTTTGACGTTTTGTAACAATTGTTTTATGTATGCGGTTTGTTTTATTCAATTAGGCCTCCTTTTACATTAGATAATACGTGTGTTTCCAATTGAAGTAACCTTCGCAATAAGTTTGATTTGATTGAATAGATAAGTAAATTGAATGCTGTACTTGCGTGTACCATGTGCCATTTTGGCGACAGATTAGAGTCTAAAGTAGTCTATACAAGTGGCAAGTATCCTGTGAGATAAATTAATGATATCTAACTGCAGCTACATGCGAAAAAATTATTATTATTATTATTATTATTATTATTATTATTATTATTATTATTACTGCCAGACTTTTATCATTATCATTATAACCATCATCATTTTCAAATTTTAAAAAGGTACTTTATCAGGAAATGAGGCTACAAACGGCTAGTAAGATATTAGAGTCATAATAGCTGTGATTTTTTATATGTATCTGTTGTCTGTAGGAACTATTATTCTAACATGTAGACATGACACAGTTAACGAAATTCTTTGCTGGCTTGATTTTATGATTAAAAAAAACTTAAGGTGCAAATGTTGTGAAATGAACGAAGAAAATGGTGACAGGTATAATTGTACTGTACAGCAATCTTCTTATATGATACCAGTGTCTTCTCTTCTCCGTGTTAGAACGTCTACGGGACCTCTACACTACGCTTTAAGACGTTTAAGGGAGCGTTCCCATAACCCTATTTTACCAGCTGGATCGATCTAACTCCTCTGAGATTCCCTCTAAATTGCATTCAGTTTAAGCGGCTTAAATGTCTGGCACGCCCCTTCGTAACTTAAAGTAGTTGGGTTAAGTCGGGAAAACTTTGTGATCCATGATGTTGTTCATGTTGCTTTGTGAGGGGGCATGCCAGACATTTTAGCTAATTACATTGACTGCGCCTTAGAATCCACGCGCGCCGTCGAGGGGACTAGATTGGAGCAGAGATTTAATCCGTTTAAAGGCGTGTGTGCAGTCGGGGAGACCATCAGGAATCAGCGGCATCGCTTTTGAACTGTGGTCGGCCATATTTAGTCGGCGGATCAGTACTCGGAACATCCATTCTAAATGGGCCTGAAGAAAGGAGATACCGCCTTTACCAGGGGACTGAACACGCATGACGCATGAGAGATATAAAACGAGTAAAATGACAACTCTCTCTTTTGTCACGGAAACAAATGAAGGCCTTTTTAACTTATCCAGTGCTAGCGAACCAAATATAATCCAAGTCATTTGGTGATCATCCATAGAATTGATAGACAAGATCGACACTCTGAAAAACAACACGTGTATATCCGCCACACGTGCTTTATGTAATTAAGAAAAGCTGTCAAATGTACAGATCACCGACTGCATCATGATATGACCATAGAAACAGATAATCGAGCCTGTTTTCAAATGCTTCTGTAGTCAGAATATCTCGTATTGTATTGTAGACATTAAAAAAACCCAAAGTGTGACAGCTGTGACCAGCTTCGAAACTGGCGACTTGTGGTGTTTTCTATAAAGACGGAACGAAAAATTGTGTCAATGAATAAATAAATTATGTACGAACAAATGACTAAATGAATGGACACGAAAACAAGAGAATACAAAAAAAAAAAAAAAAAGAAAAACAACAAAAATGCAATTAGATAGAAAAAAATAAATAAGTGAATAATATGACCCGTCCCCATAGACACTATCGGTCTACAATGACCGATCCAAATCTGCGGGGACTCTAACTGAGTGCAGCTTAACTGAATGACACGCCTCCTCTTGTTTCCAACGTACGCACATAATCCCCAGTTTGTCTGTATTATACTTAACACAAATAGGAGGCGTGTTATGTCCCTGGGGAGTTGCATCGATCTAAGTAGACCGATGGTCTCTAAGGCCCCATTCAGAATGGATGATCCGAGTACTTACTGATCCGCCGACTAAATATGGCCGACCACAGTTCAAGAGCGATGCCGCTGATTCCTGATGGTCTTCCCGACTCCACACGCGCCTTTAAACGGATCAAATCTCTGCTCCGAGGTTTGATTGCTAGGCCCCTGCAGCGACGGCGAGTGTGGAGGCAGGGAGACCATCGTGTACACCTTTAAACAGTTTGTGTTTGAGGAATTGCGAACTCTGCAATACAACCAGGTTTCATTTGTCCATTCCACTTTATTGTGAATGAAATATTACACCTGCTTAAGAGATATTTTTGCATGATGGATGTGTCTTGTTAAATGGCGACCGAAACATCCGCTCACAGTATCGTGTTGTGGTTTTCTACATAAAACCTAATCGAACAGTTAATTTGTTTTTTTTTCACCTTAAGGGTTAATACACGATAAGGCACCACTTGCGCTAAATTATTCCGCACACGAATATCCTGCATGCCGTTAGTGCCGTTCGCATAAAAGAGCAAGTATTTCGGTCTGTTCGTTTGTGTTTGTTTGAGGCATTAATGTTGTTTTATTTGTTTTGTTTTGTTTAACGACAGAAGCCACAATTTTAGAGATTTTTGTTTGATTTTTTTTAGCAATTTTAACCATGAATTAAAACTGTAAAACAGTTGGAATATTTGTCCCATAAATGCAATAGTTGTATTATAGTTCGCAAGTTCTTGCTCTATTGAGCAATTTCATTTTTTTTTTTCAAATCCATACAAGTAGAACCAACTCTATTCTCCTTTTTCAACATTGTGAATGTCAGTAGCAAACGTTTACGGGAGTTCTTAAGTAAGGAAATTCATGCAACCTTTAAGGAGAGTTCTGAAATAAGAGTAAACGCCGTGCCAAGGAAACCCAGGCTAGTTGTCATTGTGAAGGGCATCAGGATGAAATCGGCACGGTCACGAGAGCTTCTTCAGGCATCTACAGTACTGGTGGAGTATGCTTGTATAGAATTATGTGTTGCAAAAGGTCCCATCTTTCATGGTATTGCATGGAAAAAAATTACAAGAGAAAATAACTGTCGGTTATATCTAATGTGTACAGTTTGACGTAAAAAACAGAAGAGCAAATCAGAGTTGATTATGATTTACTGGTGGAGTTTGACATTGAATCATATTAAAAGAGCATTATCTTTGCACCGGGTTAGCGTACATTAAATTGACAGACAGAAATGATATTCCTACAAATAATTCAAATGTAACTTACACGTTCAAGTGGTGCACATCATTTTACTTTGAAGAAAAAAACACAAAAATCCTTTTTGTCTGAGGACAATGTTCAAATAAGTCACTTTTAGAAACTTGTAACTCTGACAGTTATAAGGTGAAAATTCAATTAAAATCAATTCTTAATTCAGTAAGCATCTTTGTTCCTTACGTCATTTTTTTCTTTTTTTGCATAACAGTGCTCAAATCAAATAAACACACTTAAAAACGACTAATCAGATTACATGAAGGTTGTTCATCGGTGCCAAAACTAAATGAAAAATAGGCTAATTGCATTAAAAGGTAGATTCCATGTTTTGAATGTACCAGTAAGCACCACAGTTACACGTCTAAAACTGTCTCCCCATGCCAGCTAACAGGATATCGTCGTACTTTGCCCATTGCTATTTAAAATAGTTGGCCTAGGTCTCGAACTTCGTGTCGCTGCAGCCACGTGCTGTCTTCTGCCGATATCACGTCCTATAAACTGTAAAAACCCTTCTCTAAACTGCTGGTTCATGGCAACGTAAATGATTGGATTCCAAATCACCGAAGCCTTGGCGAGTAATGCCGGGATGACATCGGAAGTGGGCGGAATGTGCCGAAGATCGTCGAACGCAGCCCAAAGCGAGACTATGGCGTACGGTGACCATGAAAGTAGGAATGCAACTAAAAAAAATGATAGCGAATTAAGACACAAAAGCAAGGAAATGTATCTTATCATTATTTTGTACATAAAATATCTTGGTGCTAGTGTTGATATATATATATATATATATATATATATATATATATATATATATATATATATATATATATATATATATTAAAGGTATTCTGTCTTGGATTTCGCGCCAAATTGAATAAGCCTCAGTAAAAAGCATTCTTCTTCTAAATACACAGGGATCATCACCGTCCCGCATTTGGATTCGATGGTTTAATTATACAATTGTTAAATTAATGATTTAAATCTCAATGCTGACCAGACATTTGGACCATTGGATTTTTTGGGGGGCATTTTAGAAGGAAATATCTACCTCAGATACTTTTACGTAAGGGAGTGTTATCGATTAAGATCTGAAGGTCTGGGATATTAATGGCTTTGTAGGATATTGAGAAATACGAATATGACACTGAAGCATTAACAAATGTGTTCAGTACACCTAAAGTGATGACACCCTTAATAAAAAGAAAACAATTACAGATGACACACTTCCTACCAATTTTATTAACGAGCGGAAATGAACGTACTACTAATCTCTGCAGCAATTCGCGAAATGATAGACGAACGTCAAGCTATAGATAATATAATACACTTTCTCATCAGAAATCAAGGAAGACCAAAAATTAGGGAGAATATGTAAGACTTCGAAATATTTGAATGTTGTTTTTGCTCTGCTGCCTAAGGAACCTTTATTCATTGTTGGATTCAGAATGCTCCCCCCTCCAAAAAATATAATAATAATAATAATAATAATAATAATAATAATAATAATAATAATAATAGAGGAAGAGGGATGTCAACAAAAAGGCTGCAGTTCTTTTACCCACCTCATCTCTAAGTTATCTCGAGTCTCGACATTTTGTCACTACAAAAGCAACATAAGTACTTTAACGTTTACAAAGTAAAGTGCCAATCAGCGGTATTCATTTTGGAAACGGACGATCTCTCGAGACTCTAAACTTGATTCTTGCCTCGAATACTCGCCTCTGAAGACTTGAGAAATTGGCCATTGCGCGACAAAATTCGTAGAGGTAAAATCTCCAAGGAAAGTACCCCGACAATTTCTGTCTGTGTGAAGACATCGGTAAGGAAATACAAATTAATTTTAAACCCCCTTCAGAATATGTAACACTCTACAAAGCCTCCTTGCCAAAAGCGCAACAACTTAATAATACGTAATAATCTGTTGTACGCGTATTAGCAGTTTAAAGAGGCACAGGTAATTTCCGTTGGTAGGCAGTGATACCGAAATCTTTAGATTTAATTTCCTTACATCTTATCTAAATTTCTCGTGGTATTTGAGTCAATTTCCTAAGGTCCTGCCTCCCACTTGTTTTGTCTTGTTTAAAGTGGTTCAAATATAGCACAGGGATTTAGATGTTGGTCATTTTTTTCGCTTTGTTTGTTTGTGTGTGTGTGGGGGGGGGGGATTGAAAGAAAATGATTGAATTTTCGGCTGATACTGGAACTGGTAGATCGAAGAATTTTAGAAGCAAAACGCTGCCAGAGTTGACGTTTCAGAACTGCATTTATCGAAGACGCCATACCCAGACCCTTAGACCCCATTCCCAGAGATTAGATCGATCTACTTTAGATCGACCTAACTCCCTGGGGGTTCACACTAAATAGCTGTCACGAAAGTTGATTACCCCCTTACAGCTTGTGGTAGGCGGGACGGACATTTAAGCCGGATTATCTGACAGTAACCTAGTGAGACTCCCCGCGGGGATAGATCGATCTAAAAGCTCTGGGAATACGCCCTTACACTCCTCTCTGGCCACAGAAAGCATTAGTATAGACTGACATAAAAATGTTGTTGCCCACAGTGTAACTTTGTATACTATGTTAGGGACCCCTGATTGAAGAGGCCTGCACACCAATTTACCACTTGTTACTTAGAGCCCCTGACTTTGTTCGTCGAGTGGGTTTAAAGTATTTAAGGCTTAACTAGCTGTTCAGAAAATTTGTCATTGTTTTTGACAATGCAGCAGACACTTCAGGAGAGAGAGAGAGAGAGAGAGAGAGAGCACTTACCGGTCATGGCAATGATCATTTTGAGCATCTTTGTCTGACGTTTTCGTTTTCGCCTGCTAAATTTTCCTGATGAATTTTTCCCTGTACTTGCTGACGGCTGATGTGAGTTTTTTATCTAAAAAAAAAAAGAAAATTAACACAGACAACAAATCTACTGTAAACGACTGTCTGGAAAGTTTATAGTAATTACTAATTACTACTGTATATTCAAACAGATACCACATGCTTAAAGCTTATTTCTACGTTTTTGTATTTATTCAGTCATTAAATAATAATAATAATAATAATAATAATAATAATAATAATAATAATAATAATAATAAATCCAGCTTATTATGTTACATTTTAATATTGACTTCTTCTAATGCTTCTGTTTGATTACATAATAGTAGAAAGAAAAAGATATTAAAGTTTAATATGGTTATTAATCACCTATCAGTCAGGATATACAGGTTAAATGTGATTTATTCATCCGCTTATCCATTTGTTTATTTATTTTTTTACTTCAGCATCTTCCTCGGAGTGATTAATATCACTGTATTTGAAAACCGTTCATCGCATTTGTTTTGTTCAAGCTGAGATATTCTTTTTATTGTGTAAATTGCAAATTAAGGCATGCTGACTTATCGCACCAATGCTTTGTAATACGGCGGACAGTGATCTCGGGAATCCTCCAAGGTAAAGAAATAGGATCCATGTTCAATCACCTGTTTTTTTTTTTCCTGTCAGTATTGAACTTCGACTTACTTTTCATAACATTATGGCAGTGATAACGTGCACGGCGATATAAATTATTGGGCGAAGTGCAAAAAAAACAGCCCTATTTGGCAATCCTATAGTTTGCGGTACCCTGAAAAATTATTTCCGATGGCATTAGCCGTCTTATTTCACCGCACTGGTCAGATAAAAGCGGGATCAAAACACGTTGAAGGTTCGATAATGAACTCATTTATCAAAAACAGCCCCGCAATTTAAACCATCTATCACTGCTAGCACTTAGTTTTCAGGATTAATCGTTCTATTACCACCAAGATAAACATAAATTGACGATAAAACGAGGAAATATTTTTGCTTGTTGAAGGCCGCTTTAGCTGACACGTGATAATAAGCAGACGGCTCTCTATAGTGGGGATCGTCCGATGGAACCTAAAAGGAGGCCCTGGCCACCGCGTGACGTCAAATGAGGCTAAGTAATTAACTTTTTTTTTTAGCGTAAATGTGAAATTCTGCACATTGGAAAATATATTCTTACACTGGAAACTACACGATAGTGCCATTCAAAATTTCGTGAATTTGAACTGTAGTGCAATTTGACTGTAATCCTACAAAACTTAAGAGAAAACAACCAGAAATTAACAGCTTTTTCTCGTTGCCAAACTGCATTCTGTGGACTACGATAATTTAATTTCGGACTCCACTGCCGCGAAAATTCCGCGAAAATTCGCTTGATTTTACACAGACTGGATGCTTCGAATATGAATTTAATATGCAAACTCTTCAACGCAGTTCTTCCAGTAGTATGGCTATCAAAACCGCCTGACATACATGTAGTATAGGCATTCGACTTGCTTGTTCCCTTGTATCTACCGGCATGAGATTAAAGGAGACAAACCAACACACATACGATTATCTGAAAAATAGTGAAGCAAGCACACTCATTGCCAGAAATGCTCTCTGGTAGGTGGTACTGTAGGGCCACAGAGTGGTGGAGGAACCGCTGAACGGTGATCGCACCCCCCCCCCCCCCTTAGTGCACCATGATTCCATAATGAACCAGTGCCACGACAGTCGTCTTGCCTTCGTGCCATCAAAGAATATGCCAGATCCCGTGTAACGTGACAGAGAGCCCCCCGTGACAGAGAGTCTGCTACCCATTCATTTGTACAGGCAAGCCTCGCCCTTGAATTTGACCCACTAAGGTCAGGCTAACCCTAACCGTTATAACTAAATGGAGGGCGGACTTTCTGTTACACGGACCTTCAGTTTCGTGACACTGGTGTTATGGTAAACTTAAGTGAGAACCGGCTGGAGAACATCTCCACTCCTCTCCTCTCCCTATCCCGCACAACATGTGCCACTAAAACTGGCGTGACCGCTCTGGGACCCCTAGGGCTCATTTCCATTGAAACTACGTAGATCGACCCAACTCTGCGTTGAATCTCGCTGAATTCAATCAGTTGAACAGATTAACAAACCTCCTTTTGTTCCCTATGTGCTCGTATAATCGCCAGTATTTCTGTTTTCTTCTCAACGCCAGGTTGGGGCGTGTTAATCCCTAAGTCTGAATGCAATCAGCAATAACCCCCGCAGAGTTTGAGTTTGATCTACGTGGAGTGATAGTTTCATTTGTAATGAGCCCTCAACTGACGTGATCAATGACCACAGTGGACGCCTTCACTGGAAATTAAGGATGGTGAGTGGCGACGGTAGAGGCAGAGATCACGACTCTGTTGATAGCAATATACCAACATAGGTACAAAGACGTTCGTGTTCATCGTGATGTACCCCTCATTGTGATGTAAGAATGATAGTTTTGTCGTGGCCAATACGTTACGCAAGTCACGATTATGTATTATGATTGTGTGTACTTGTAGGATGTGCACGAAGTCCTGAATATTAAGCATGGTTTCCGTGATCCCAATCACTATTCTTGTGGTATATAATCTTTAACAGCAGAGCGCTTACACGTCAAAATTTCTAGCCAAATTTTAAGATTTTCACTAATTTCTGCTCCAGCGGCATGGTTAGAGAACTGGCTACAAGAACTAAAAAAAGTGTGTAATCGCCCTTTTTCACTGCTCATCTTCCAGATATTTGTCACTCATTTGTGCCAGTCATGCATCTCAAGCAAAATAAGCAATAACCACGCCGGGTTTTATCTTGTATACAGAAGAATAATCTCGCAATTAAAATGATGAATCACATGTTCGCAAGCCCATCCTTTTTTCAAAGAATCCTCTCCTCTGATGTCAAAGATACATGACACAATAGTAAGAAAATCACTTCATTTTCGACCCAACTTATCCATCAAACAGAGATAAGGACCATCAGCTGGGAACAATGGCGCATCAGCTCAATGATTCTGTCTCTTTTAATGATCTAGGCGGCATCTTTTACGCTTTTGTAATTCCTTACTTTAAAAGTCAAATAAAGGTTTTTTTGACTTATGTTCTCAGCTTAGACCATTATTTATTATTGGCAAAATAAAGCCAATATTAACATTCGACTTAAAGTGTGATTAAAGAATCAATTTGCAGAAAAAAAAACAAAGAAACTTACAGTTGAAGACAAAGAAATAATAGATACTGTATGTTATGATTACGTTAGAAAATTTGAATTTTTGACAAAGATACGCGTAAAGTGTGTGTTGTAACCACATGTAAGCAACCTTGAGTGAGTAGGCACATACCGGGGGTGTGCTCTTGCCAACGAACGGCTGTGTCTGAATGTAAAAATACCCTTAAGCGTCATTCGCTGCTATCAACTATAAAGAAAAATCGAATAAAGCGCATTACTTCAATAACCTTTTGATACAACCAATTAACGATCGCCACACTTTGAAAGGCGAAATTAGCGCGTATTATATAAGGGCGCAGACAAGGTAAGCCGGAGGTCTCAGTACGAACCAACCGTTAATGTTTAATCCACCAATTAAATAACCGACAAACTCGCCCATCCGCCGCCTTTGAGGCTTGTTCTGTGTCGTTCTAATGTCTTCATATGGTAAGCTAAGGCATGTAGTAACTGGGTACCTATTTTATTAAAAAGCTGTGGCTTGAATTTTTTTTTTAATTTTAGGACCTCAAATTTGGTCGGGTGAAGATTAATCTTTGTAAGTCCACTCAAATAAAGTAACTGTTGGTCTGAAACAGTAGCCGCGTCTCTCTTGTTATGAAACAGGTGCAATAATTCAATTAATTGCACTACTACATTCATACTTATAAATTGTCAAAATGGACAAAAAATGGACTGGAATGTTTACAACTTCGTTGTGAAACAACCCCTGCTGAGCCGGATTGGACCGAATTACGATCAACTACATGCAGATTGATGAAAATACATGCATGAAAGGAGAGAGACAAATATTTTTTTTTCCTTTTTGCTCTCTTTCCCACCACCTCTCTCTCTCTCTCTCTCTCTCTCTCTCTCTCTCTCTCTCTCTCTAGGGCAGTTCTCAATCATGTCACCACTATCTAATTTCAAGAAACAATGTTAATAACATGAGTAATTTTGTTTGCTTGCACAAGTATCGTCCCATTTCCCCTAAGTCGTGACATTAAAGAATTTGATCTATCACACATTATATGTGAAAGGGTCAGAGAGTTATGTCTTCTTACATGAACATATCAATTTCAGCGCCTACTCCCATACATTGTGCGTTCCAGTAAATCAACTACTTAACTCAGCTGAGTCGGTTCGTTGGGGCCCACTATGGCACAGCAAATTTCCCATCGGAATGAAATAAAGTTAGCAAAGTCGTAGATATTGCAATTTTGTCCAAATCTAGAAAAATTGATGTTCTCTCTCAAGCGGGTCTGGTCCTATTTTCAATTTGATATTAGCGTATTAACATGGCTTTGGCCTTAAATGATTAAAAAAATTAAGTGAAAGGCTATACATTCTCTATCTTTGTTTATTGGAATCGACCCATTCTACAAATTTTAAGGTACTTCGTTCCGATGATACACCAATGAATTACCCTATCTTTTGAAATGTCGGCCATTTTGGATTTTGCCAAGGGTAAATTTCGGCGCCAATCTCACCCTCATGGAACGTATTCAATTTGGATACCTTTGTTAACACGTTTGCCAACTTCGATAAAAAATAACATGCTCATTTTTTGGACAATTATCATGTAAGCTGAACAATGCACATCCATAGGGGTGCTTATTTTGTGAAATGTACATTTTTTTAAATGACTGCATATACATTGTTGCTGCTGTACAAAATATGAGAATACAGATATGACCTTATTTTCGCGAAAGTCCGAGTTTATCACACAACTAATTGAATGCCTTTACAAATGCGATATTCGTCAGCAGCCATGGAAGCAGCCACTGAGGTAGAAAAAAAAGAGTGATTTATAACACTGTAGGATAATTTGATTGTATTTCA